ATGCTAGGGCATAGCTGACGGAAATGGACATGAAGCTGGCAGAACAAAGGAAACCCAACCGGACATGGAAAGAAGAAGACATCTTTGAGAAACAACATTCCAACCGTTCGCATCGCATTTCCGAAGCTTTCTGTATTTGTTAGCTGCCGTTCTCGGACTTGGTAAACATCTCCAGGGTCAACAACCCAAGCATTGCATTGTCTTGTTTGCGTGGGAGTGTAAGCAGACAAAGAAGGTAGTCAATAATGACTCCCCAAACAATGGTTCAAGGTGCAAACCGGTGCTTGTCTAATTTCCCATACTTGTTGCAAAATGTCGTCGCCAACTGGCTTGTAAAAATTGGCTGTTTGGATATCCCCCTTTTGTCACGTATATCATACATAACATCATGATGCTCCGGCAATGGCCACTTGATTCATCCATTACCATCCGTATACTCGCTCTCTGTCATCGCACCATCTCTTTATTTATGCAAACCGACCAACAACTCCCACCATGGAGAGAAAGTACCAAATGACCGAGCCGAACGCGTTGTATTCCACATCCCACCGTCCCTAAACTCCATAATGTAAGTAATTTGACGCTAGCCAACCCACACTTTCGAAATGTCTCGACTGTCTTGCGCCGGACAAGACCAAGACCACGCCCAATCCTTGAACCATAACCTCCACAGCATTGCCTGAGCCAACCAGATTTTGAAAAGGAATTAAAAAGGTATCAAAATAATACCAGAAAACAACATTTGAGACGGGTGCACGTTCAAACGAGCGGTTACACCCTAGGTAAAAAGGCATTGACAGAAATCCTCTCCAGCTCGCACTCGGCGCCACTGGGGAGCTTCTGGCCCTTCGGAAGGGCTGCAATCATTGTGACACTGATTACTGTCGTACCCGGCTGCAACGGAAGGTCAAATACTATCGCATTCACGGGCAGCGGGTCGTCAGGAATCGGTAAAGGAGTCGCCCTTCCCACCATCGAACCATTAATGGTGATGAAAAGGCGATATTGTCGTTGTTGCTGCTCCAGGATAGGAGACAGTCGTGGAATAAGCTGCAGTCTGCTATGATTAGTGGGCAGATGAACAGTCAGGTTCTGCTGGGCCAATCTTGGATGAGCCGGAACTTCAAGTCTAAACCGCCTCTCGAGGGGGATGCTTGGATGGGTACGAATCAGGATGCTATGGATAAGGGCATCGGCAAGACCTTTTAAATGCAATTAGCGACTAAACCTTCATAAACGGACCTGACCAAAACTTACCTCGACCAGGAGCACGGTGTGTCTTATCCCATATAGGCGGGGGCGGGGGCGGTGCTACAACGGGCACATGACCGTTTTGAAGCACTGCAGAACCTGGCTGTTGCGAATTGATTGCCGGCGTCATGGTTCCGGGTCCCACGGCAACCCCATTCATGCCCGCTTGGGGTGGTAGAGGCACAGGCGATTGTTGAACACCCCCCTCGAGCTTAGCCTGGGTGACGGCAGGGCTTGGTACCACAGAGGTGGACAGACTCCTAACTTTATCTTGAGGTATGATGGGAACTGCAGACGGGACAACTCTATTGCCATTGACAGCTCCATGGCTATAGTTGGAATCAATGGATTGGCCAGTTGGGGGCGCTGGCGAGGCGGCAGCGCTACCCCGAGAGCCGCCCACATGAATGGTGATCTTCTTCGGACCGCTCACACTTGGAGTTTCCGAGCCGGGGGCGACCTTCAGTTTAATCTTGGGGGGCTGTGGCGGTTCTTGAACGACTGCCTTGGCTTGGTCCAACTCTCTCTCAAAGCAGCTCTTCAATTCCGTCGCAAGGTCGTAAATAACGCTCCCCTCTTCGTTATAGTAGTGAGCATTGTTCCAGAGAAGACTGGCCTTCTCCTCGAATGCAGCCCAACTCTTGAATTCGCTCACACCTGTCGGACTAGCGCGACCGTAGATACCCTTGACGAGCTTCTGCAGGCCCTTGAGGGAAAGGGGCTCAGTGATGACAGCAAAGTAGTCCTTGAAGCTCCTTGGAGGAAGGTTGATAAAGTCGAGGAAATACGGGTCACTGTTTTGTTATGTTAGTATGGAAGGGTCGACAAGGTGGGACGAATGAGAGATGGAGGTGCAACGTACGATCCATCCGGCTTGCGAATGAGCTCCTCTACAATCTTCTCCTGTGCTTGCTGGAAGTTGAGGCTTTTGTAGGGTACATTCTCGTACTCATGGTCTGCCTTTTTCCTGCCACCTCTGCCAGGCTTAAACGTGGGTACTGGCGAGGCTGTGCTTCTAGCCGCTGGTCTGCCACTTTCGCGCCTCTTGATAACAATCCTTCGTGGGTTCTCATTGTCTTCGTCGCCGCTCTCGTCGCGGCCGTCATCGTGGTCATCATCTTCGCCTTCAACATCATCCTCGCCCTGGGTATCCTGTACCGAAGGAGATTCGCGTTTCCGCACAGATTTGACAGAGCCGTTTGTCGAGCTGTTCGAAGAGTGCCTTTTGGTACCGTTTTGACTCGCGTTCTTGCTCTCTTCGTCGTCTTCCTCCCCAGGAATCGGCGCTGCGGTGCAGCTATAGCCGGTTTCTCGCTTGTAGGCAGGATTCGTCTTGGTCATGTAGTTGCTGAGTGCTTTCCTGACGCGTTCTGCGTCCTCAAAGATGTCGGAGCCTTTGTTGTAGTATTCTTTCGCGTTCATAACCATACGTTTGAAGTAACCCTCCAGCTCGGACAAGTTTGCAAAGTCCTGATTGTGCAGTTTGCGCTCGATTGTTTTGAGAGATATGGGCAGCTTGATGCGCCTGTAGTAGTCTTCGTTTCCTTCGCGCGGGATGAGATCTTCGAAGCAGTCGGCGACAGTCCGTCCACTATGATCAAGATGTTAGCGAAAAGCTTTACGGAGAGAATGCAAAAGGTCCATCTGTTGCTGTCGATCGCAAGTGGTACAGTCATAAAAGAGAAACCTGCACCGGGTTTCGTGCAAGATTGTAACTTCATACCTCTTGTCCTTCGTCCTCCGAATCATCTCGAGGAAGTGCAGGCCATATGCGGTAGTGGACTCATGGGTCTCTTCCTGATTGAGATCGTAATCCGTGTAGGGCTGTATTCGCGGTTAGCTGGCTGTATGTAGTCGAATATTGAGGGCAGTGTTTTTGTTGACTGCTGTATTGTCGAAGCCAAGGGATAAGACGCGGGTTGAGCATCGTGGGAGGCAGATGTCAAGCTTCATTGACAGGTATTGGGGTTCAATCAGATAAAAGGTGCTGAGTTCTGTCAATGGGTGCATGTGCACTTCCTCAACTTCCTTCCCAGACGAGGAAGGGAAGTTTAGAGGTTATGGTCGCTGCATGGCCGCATCCTCGTCGAGAGGGACCAGCTACAACAGGAACCGGGGGTGCATGTATAGGTAGGGAGCAGTGGGAGCAATGGTTCATTGGAGGTGATGGACTTACGCCTGGTTCCTTCTTGGTGCGCTTCGCAGCGCGGTCGTCGCCATCCTGGATGTGGGCGCCGTTGGAGATGCTGGCTTTCCGCTTATTGTCCATGTCGGCGAAGAGTGCAACCCGGTCGTGGGTCTGGTAGATGCGGCAGGCTATCCGAGGATGTCGTCAGAGCTACCGGTAGGGCGGTGCCGGCGGGGCAATGGCAGTTTGGGGAGAAGGGTCTCGTCTGGGGGTCAGGGACCGGATGGGCGTCGCTGGCGCAGAGCAGGACGGGACTCGTTCGGGAGACGCGTTGCGGTTTGGCGATTGTGTGTTTCGTTCTGCGGGCACAAAAAATACCACTTGGGTTGATGGGTAGTGGATTAGTGGGAACCGCGCTCCAGTGCTCCAGCAGCGATGGGCCTGGCCTGTGAGCTGCAGCGGGCGGGCGGGCAGGCGGGCGTCGCCGCGAAAGGAATGGACGGGAAGATAGATTGTGGCCGCTTGAGAACTCAACGAACGTGATGGAGAGAGCAGGGGGCGGGCTAGAATCACTTCAGTTGTAGTGTAAGTGAGGTGGGCAACCGTCCACGAGCCAATAGCAGTGGCGGCTTGTGATGGTGTATCGACTCCCGTCTGCGCAGGAACAGACACACTTCAGTTTGTTGGGTGGATGCTGCACGGCGTGTCGAGCAGTGAGATAGGTCGGGATGCCGGCAGTGTGTAGACAGTGGTGATGGGCAGTGGGAATACCCTCAGAGCTGAGAGGTATCGGGGCGGATGGCGAGTTGGGTGCTCCAACAGATGAACACAAAAAGACGGTTGGCCGCGGGTTGCTTTGAGCGGATTGTCCTGAGCTTTGTTAGTGCAGCGTGGTTTGCTTCCCTGGACGGCGCCTGGTGGTGGTGTGGTCTGGTGCCCGTGCTTTGGGACGACTTTGAGAAAGACCACATCCCTTGTCGACCTACTTGGCGGCTGGCAGCCGTCTGTCAAAAGTTCTGCCCTTCAAGCGTACCAAGACCGGGTCAACTGACGCGGCCGGCACCATTTGGAATCAGTATGGTGAATTTGCCGGCCGGATGCTCCCGTCTGCCATCAAACCCCTGTCAACTGAGTGGCAGTAGACTTACTTGGGTGATTCCTACTCGTCACTGGCCGACCCGTCGTCGTCAACGACATCACCATCTCATCGCAATACCGACACTCTACAATAACACCAAAGTCTTTGGACAATAGAAGCTATCGTTCGGCCTATTCAAGATAGCTCCCAGAAGATACACAACAGCGACCCCGCCAGCTACAATTGACTCTCGGCTCCATCGTCTCATCTCATCCCGCCCCCAAAGTGAAGACAACAGTCACAATATACTGCCGCCAAAGACGCCGACTCCACTGCCCTGCCCGACAGCGACCCTCTCTCTGCCTCCGGGTTCTTAAATAGCACTCTATCCACCCCACGCGCGCGGTCACTACAGCGAAACCCAAACCAGAGACACGCGTTGTGGAATCGCACAGCACCACCAGCAACCATCGCCTTGGCAACCGATACCAAACAACAACAATCGCACACCGCCGTACACCCACAACACAAGCAGGCAAAATGACACCGGAGGAGATGGGAATCGACACCAGTCGCCGCAACCCCAGCCCGCGGCCGCTGTCTGATAACGAGCGCGCGCGCCTCGAGGAGTTCATCGACTCTATTCACTATTCTACTCGGTACGCCGTGGCGCACTTTGGGAAGCGCTCTACTGTACGGTTGCTGACCCTGCCACTTGTTCCTACAGTTATTCCGACAGCGAGTACGAGTACCGTCACGTCCAGCTACCCAAGGCCATGCTCAAGGCCATCCCCTCCGACTACCACGATAAATCCAAGGGCACTCTAAAGCTCTTGTGGGAAGAGGAATGGAGAGCCATGGGCATTACACAGGTGCGCGCGAATCTGATCAGTTGCGATGGGAACGCATAGGGAACGGGAAGACTAACACAAAGGTTGCGACAACAGAGTCTCGGTTGGGAACACTACGAGGTTCATGAGCCAGAGCCTCATATTCTGTTGTTCAAGTAAGCGCATTTCATTCGACACTACCATGATCAATATTGCTAACCTGACGGTATCGCAGGCGTCCCCTGAACTACCAGCCCCCTCAGTGTTGAAGACAACTTGGCTTGAGGAGGATTAGACGGGAACACAAACACAACACACACACTTGGAATTGTACCATACCTTGCATTACCATGATGCTCACGACTGCATAGCGAGATTTCTTTAATGGGCGACATGTGCGGACAGCGATCGCGATCGATACTAGGATAATACTTGGAGGATACTACTGGCTCGAATACTTTGCTCCGATCAATGCGCCCATGGCCGTCACCCAAAAAGCTCCCGAGTGTCTGGAGGACAAGAATCCCATATCCTGATGTGAGCGATCGAATGACGATCACAGTCTATTGCGACACGGATGGATTGATTTGACCGAGACATAACACAATGACTCGGTGGATCACTGCTGGAAGGGATGAGCTTGCCGGACCTCTCTGATTTGGAAGCCGAGGCTGTAGGTGGGCTCGCCAGACTTGCATATTCTTCATGGACCACTCAGCCAGTTACTGGCCAAACATCCTGCTGTCACAACTTGAACCAATTCTCAGGCATAGCATTCGATATCTGCAGACAACATAGGAGGAGACAAGCGATCATGCACGGGGTATCATTGGTCTAATGTCTCCGGGGTGGGTCGTTGGGTTATGGGTCCGTGAAGAGCAAATGGATAGAGAGAATCAATAGAAACGGCTTGCAATTCAAGCGCTCCCTATCGTCTAAATCTTGAGTTTTTACGTGCTCCTCTGACTCCCCACATGGTCTTCCACAAGGCAAGCAAGCTGTCCGGCATCAGACTTTGTCAGTCATCCCAAAGAAATCATGACTCATATCTTCCAAAGAAATACCATTCCGGTGCCTAGCTCAAATGAAAGTGCATGTCATAACTGACACTCTATAAATGCATTCCAGTCACACTAATCACCAAGCCTATTATACAATGACAGCATATACGCTCTGTTTCCACGGAACGTGCATTGGCTATATGAGTATTCGGTCTAATCTCGAGCTCATATAAACAAATGCTCGGGGGTCTCTCATGCAGAGTCTCTGAGGTGGCCACAGCAACTTACGCGTCGGCCCTCCATTAACTAGGCTAGGCAGGCAACCCATTGTGTTCAGCAAGACTTTGATAATCATTTTCACCCGCCTTCCCCTTACACATGGCTTTCACGTACATCATGAACTCGACCAGAATGACATGACCAGCCACGGATATGATTATCGGTATGTGGACACTCGATGTTCCATCAGATTTGATGGTCAAGTCTTGTCTTAGTTTCCTCTCTTTTTGTTAGTCTTCGCCAACAGACCGACAGCATTACTAGGTAATGACAAAGACCACGTAACGGTTACTCCGTTCCAACTGAACTAATTCAAATATGAAAGAGATGTGAAATGGAAAAATTGAAAGGATGTCTCGACGAGTTATAGACCAAGTGAAGAGAGTGACGCGCTGTTCCAACTGTCCCGAGTTGGGTAGGAACAACGAGAAGTCCTACTGCTACGTCCCTGAGAAAGCTAGAAATTCGGGAGTTAGACTTACGAAAGACGTTGGTTGGACTCGGGTTGGATACGACTCATACAATGTTTTCGGGAGGACATACCATGTATACACGTTGTTTCCGAGCAAATGTTTTCCAAATTTACTGCGGGCATCTCGCAACAAACAAAAATTGAAAGTCATCGCTTTTGCCATCTGTTCAGTCCGTACAGTTACTTGGATCAGAGGTCTACACAGGAGTGATAACTCGAAGGTTCAAAACTTCAAATTAAAAAAAAAAATTAAAAAATCAGAAAATGCAAAAAAAAAAAAAAAAAAAAAAAACACATCGAGATATTGCAACCATATGCCGTAACTTTTACTAATGGCTTCTATTTCATGTCAGCTTGACATACGCCTGTCTGTGGTGGCCCTTTCCTCATGTTTCTGTCATTAGATTTTGCTCGCTCAAGGGATTTCTCTGTAGATCCGGACATGGACGTTAGAAGATACACAGCATGAAAGACGGAGAGCGAAAGAATAACCAGGTTCCAAAAGTAAAGATATCCGTTCGGCAACCTGCAGCGTATATTTGAATAAACCGGAAGTTCTTTCAGGAATGCTCCTGGTCGCCGTCGATAATCCGTCTGTCTCTAAACATGCGATCCCGAGTTTTGTTATGGTGTTGACCGACAGCTTCGAGTTCAATCCCCTTTATCCCTCTACTTCAGTTCTTGTTTTCCCCTATTACGAATTGTTCAAGTCTTGCCCTCAGTCTCTTTTACTTGTCGTATTGTCGTATCTCATTGCTCAAAGTACTAATTCTTTTGTCTTGGTCGAACCGAAATGCGTGGAACGAATCCGGGTGTGGCATTGACGGTTAGCCTACCCAAAAAACAGAGAGTGAATTTCACTCGCCGAAACTCCACAAGCTTAATTGCCAGTGATGCCAGCTTACTCCCAGACGGTCGATTTTGAAAACCTGACGAGTTGATCTAGTTGACAGACATAACTCAAGGAGAATACAACCTATACACGCATGTATCGTTTAGACGCAAACGCTTTGAAACCGGGTAGATGGGCCCCCAAACCGTTGATATGGATAGCTCGGAATGTAACCCGGCATCCAATCCAACATCCGGATACATACGTAGCACCGAACATCCGACACCCGGCACGTGCCAAATTAGCCGCTCGGTGGCTTCTCGGTAAGTCCCGCTCCGAGACTCCGGGATACTCTTGGGTCCGATTCCGGGTATTGTGGGGCCAAAGCGGAAGCTTCCAGTTGCCCGATTGAACTTTCGAAGTGGGAGTTGCCGGGATCCGGCTGGTCTGTGCACTCTCCGGCCCCAAACCAAATCAGCCCAGCTGAGCTGCTGCTCGGAGATCCGCCTGACTCCGGCGCTCGGTTCAAGCTAGAAACGCTTCGGGGCTCGGATCCCACCCCCATAATCCTTGATCCCGTCCTTAATCTTCTTCTCTACAGTGTTGGCACTTCTTTTTGCCAGTCCGTCCGACGATGGCCTTCCATCTTTTGTAGTCGTGTAGTGAGTGGGTGTTGTGGTTGCTGTTGTACATTTGTGGGAGTGGTGACTTCCATTTGTATGGAGGTTTTATGGTGCAGTGGGGTTGTGCCAGTGCCTGAGCTTATCTTTAGCTTGGCATTAGCGCTGCGCCTTGGCACGGCAGCTTGCAGCGCTACCCCACTTTTTCGGTCAGCGGGGGGTCAGGTTGCCCGCACAAAGCCGCGGCGTGATGCCCTTCTGGTGGGGGAGGGACAGTTCGCTGGCAGTGGGCACAATGACAGCACAAGCAGCAACAACAACAAACGACGGGATGTGTCGCTGTTGTGATCTGTGATTGATCATTGGAGTTCTGTGGCGCTTGACGATCTTGTTTTGGACTTTATCTTTGGTCCATCATTGATTGGGGATTTTTTTCTTTCTAAGCTTGATTACAAACCTAGGTTGATTTCCATCCCATCACTGCCGACCGGGTGGAACAGCATGTGTGGGGTTGTTCAAACGCATTTTTGCCTCTTCTAAATGACGTTTCTGAAGCCCTTCATGTAAAGCAAGCAAAATGATGTCTGTCCGCTTCATCTTTATACTGTATACAGCGTTCGGACCATGAAAGCATCAGTTGTCCTTTGACACCCTGCGCTTGCGAGGCACAATGAAGTGTGCCAAGAGATCTTGCATTGATTAAGATCTCGGGCTGTTACATATACATACCGCTTTTGCCTTCTTTGGCCGACAACAGATGAACGGCATGTCGGCAATGGCGGTTATTAGCTTCTGAAGCACAACGAACGGCACAGAACCGGGCATTGTCTATATGGAAATAGGCACGGTGGTATTTTTGGGGGCATTTCCGCGAATTTTTGCAGTGTCAAGTCACAGTTCCCGCTGTTTGAGCCTCGAAGATCTGCAGCTCCCGTGCCTTTGTTTATCAGTTGGAATTACCGATTCACCGCAGCACAAACCTACTCCCGGCCGAAAGCGGCCAGAGTATCCAAGATCCATGGAGAAGCTGATTCACTTTTGGCCACAATGCAAATGCCGTATAGACGGACGTTTGTCTTTAGCCACCAAGAAAATCACGCATAGTCTGTAAGAAGTATACTGCAACATCCATGCCCGCCAGAAAACTGTATGCAGGAAGACGGTGATTTCGAAAATCCATACCCTTCAGCACCCTTGTGAGGACAGGGTGAACAGATAGTCCACCATTAGAATCGAAACTATGGTACTCCGGTGTGGCAATACGTCTCCCACCCACCATTCTCTTGCGGGCATCGGATGCACAGATTCAGACATACGTATGTCTGATTATGTCTGATTGCCCTGGAAGCTCAAAACGAAGGCCCTGGGTTCAAGTTGAGACGCCATAGCTGAGGTTACCGGTCCCTAGGTTTCCGGCAAAGAGTGAGTGACCTCAGGTGTATCGGACACTGAACAGCACCTCAATCACTCTATCGCACGTAATCCATAAGATTATACACTACGTAGCCCCTTCAGCGGTGAATGAACTTGCTTCTCAAGCCAGTGCCAGTTGTTATCAGATGTGCAACAATACAATGCCGGCGATCTACACAACGGCGCAACCCCTTGATGCAGATCTGAGCCTCTGTCCCAAGATCTACCGACCAGCAATAGCTACGAACGAACAACAAAAGTCCATATTACTGGACACTCAAAACACACCGTTGCTTTTTTTTTTCTCCATACCCTCAGATGTATGTACATCTGGCCATGAATTCTTCTTACCGCTTTGTCAGCCTTCAGTTCCCTTCTTCTTTTTCCGGAGACCGCTTCTTTTTGCCATCAACCTCCAGCCATTCTGTGTTTTTACCCCTCTTCGCCAAGTGTTCAGGTGTTTTGCCAAGCCCAAGATCTAACACCTCCTGCTGTGCGAGCTGAGACGGGCAATCTTGCACCAACGGCTTGAGATTTTTGGGGGGGAATGTGTCAGCTGATGATTGATGCCCGTGTAATCTGCTGTTGAATCATCCCTGCCTGGAGTGTGTCTGTCTCCTCGCTGTCGTGAAATTCTTTCAAAAGAGTGGTTGATGGAAGGCGAGAACGACGGCAAGTCGGATGTAGACAAAATAAAGTTTCGATGGCTTATCGCAATCGGGGATATAAGACCAAGCCGGGTGCGCCGGAGGCAAGGATATGCTGGCCAAGGGCAACGCCAAGACGACTTGGGTTTTGGCTACCGTCGGTTCAAAGTTGTCGACAACCCTTATCGGTAATATTTTTTTTATTTTTTTTTCTCTTTCGGTGTTCGGTGAAGGACGAAGGCGATTTTCTCCATTGCTTCTGTCAAACTACGGCTCTTATCCTATTCGTTGGTAAGATTGGACGTGATACCCACCATCCGGCAATTCCTGTGCAATGCTGCCTATCATGGTATGCTTCAAGGAGAACTTTGAATGGTTAAGTTGACCAAACCACGAACGTCATGGGTGGATATATCAAGTGCATGACAGGCGCTGAAAAAGCGAGGGAAAAAAAAAAAAAAAATACGAGACGAACAACTTGGTGGGGAGGAAGGAAGGGAGCAGGTCGATCCGGGAGAGGGACTGAAACCAAACAATTCAGGTTTCAATTGCCTGACTTGTTTGAAACTCTTTTGTTTGGACATTGTGCCAGCTCACAGACAACGATAACAATACCGAGAAAAGCAGAGAAAACTATCAGGTTCTCATTGGAAAATTGGTATACTGTCTTCCTCTTGTCGATCCCCCCTTCTTTGCTGGTTGCCGCCAGCACATCCCAGAAAACCTCCCATGTGTGTGCTTGGCTCCTGCCCCTTCCCAAAACTGCCAAGGAAAAAAAAACACATTCCATCCCTCCAGTCCCTTGTCAACCGAAGGACACCTCCACAACTCCTTATCGAGAGTGAGGAAAAAAAAAAAAAAAAAAAAAAAGAAGAAAAAAAAGAGGAAAAAAAAGACCTTCCGCAGCGCCTTTGAAAACTCCATCCCTGGTGGAGCGTACCATTCGCAAAAATCCTGTCAGAGGATTACAGAAAAAGAAGACCGAGAAGCGTCGTTTGAAAGCCTTTGTGGTATAGGAATCATCCAGTTTGCCATTTTCGCCCAAGAGGTGTGTTTCTATCCGCCGAAATGGCACATCGTTGTGCTCCCCATGTCGATGGGATCCATGCCATCATGGCTGGAAGGTATATGATAAGGAAATGTGTCATGCAGCAGCAAGGCTCGTGCTTGCCCCATCTTTTTATCGCTTGAAAGTATGACTGAACGACAGGATGGGCAAATTGCCAACCGCTAAAAAAAAGTGGTGCGACCCTTTAGTGGTTCCTCAGGAAGCGGAATCCGCCAGTGGTGGAGGACTGGCTGCTGACACTGGAGGCGCGGCGCTTGATGGCCTCGGCAGAGTCGGCCTCTACTTGCTTGACGCTCTCAGTAGGAGACTCGAGAGCAGCCTCATCGGCAGAAGCGACCTTGGGCTTTTGCTCGGCACCGGAGATGATAGGAGCCAAGGTAAGGAAGGTCGAGGGACGACGAGGGCGAAGACGCTGGCTCATGGAGCGGGTATCCTGAGAAGACATGGCTGGTGATAGAAGAGTGGTTGAAGACCGAGGAATGTGGCGGTGCTTTAACTTGTGGATGGAGGAGGCCGCTGGTAGTTGCTAGTTCGCGAGAGTTGAGTGAGGAAACGAGAATTGGGTTGAAGCGATGTGTTTGGGAAACAGTGATGAGAAAAGAAAAAAGCAGAGGGAGTTGGGGTTGATATAGAGATGGAAGGAGGAGCTCTGGAGAAAAGAAGGGGGCTCCATGCAGACGGGGCATGCCCTTAGAGGTAGGTATCCTGACTCGAGCAACACTTGGCCGACTGCTTATCAACCGCACGGCAGGTGCAAGCAGCAAATCATTGCTGTTTTTTTTTTTTTTTTTCGGTGCTCCGCACTTGAACTCACATGAACAAGGTGATCGAGAGAGCGCCAGTGTTCCCTGGGCCCCCCCGACGCCAACTTTCTCCAACCCCTAGGACGACTGCCTGCCAAGCCTTGTCTGCAACGATGCTGCAAGAGGACGCAAGAGCACACACCCCTACCCCGAGCTAAAAACCTCCATGTCGCATGATTGGATTGATCAAAGCGAGGTCCCCCCCTCGCCGGAGCTTGATGGCGCCAGGCCAGAGAGCCAGCACACGTGGGTTTGTCATTGGCTTGGGACAGAGCGGGATGGCGGCGTGATGAGGGGTTCAAAGCCTTTGTTATCCGCAAGCTGACAACGAGTGAAAAGACATTGGCAAGCGGTGCGAACTGGCCAGCCTCGAGTCTGGGGGTAGGTAGGGAAACGCATGCGAAGAGGGCTAGTGATGTCGACGTCAAATGCCCTGTAAGGCAGCGGTAGCTCGACGGGCTTGCGCACCTGCCCATAGACCGGTGGAATGATAGCGGATGGGACAATGCCATCGTGGCGGCGGAAACGAGAATAGACTTTGATACTCACCAGGGGTAGCCTATAAAATGTGGGGCAATGAGCGGCTCTGGCGCAGGTCTGGGCGGTCTCTCCGACACGCCGTCCTCGATTGACCGGGCCGCGGCTGGCCTTGATTGGTCGCCGGATAAGTCGTCGAAGATATCTCGGAAGATGTTGCGACCGTCGCTTGACATCCGGGATTTCGGGGGTGGGGCGCGGGGAAAGCTGGAGCTCAACCACGCAAGTCTGGGGTAATGGAACCTACCCCAAACGGGCCACCTCAACCGGGGCCAGCCGCCAAAAGGTACAAGGCAAAGAAAGGCCTTGGGAAGTCGAGAAGCACTCAGACTAGAAGGGGATACACTAGTACTGATCCGCCAACTGCGTCACCAGTTCAAGTTTCCTTAAGTAGGGCGCCTTGACCCTTTGGGGAATCCCAACACGTAATTTCATGGTGTGCTTTGCCCTGTCTTGCGCTCCCCCTAGTCCGCGTTAGCTTCACGCCAGGGAGCATGTGACCGAGAAAGACGTAGGAAAATCGAGAAAATGCTATTCCAGAGTCAGTATGCTATCGAAGAATAGAATGGCTGGATGCGAACCCCCAAGGTAGCTGTAGTCGCTTCACCGTCTCACGGTAGATACAAAATCTATCCACTGAACAGCGTATTATTTCCCCCTCTTCCCAGGTCTGGGGCAAGATTGCGGGAAGAAATATGATGTGAGTGGACGGATGGAAGCATGCAGCTTACGTGTCGATTTTCCGTGCATTGCCAGAACGCCTAAAACCGGCAGCATTGCTCAATCGTGTAAGCATGTGATTCGGCCGAAGGGGATGTTATCGCAACTGTAGAGGTCTCATACCATATATAGACGATTACCTTGATAAGTATCCCGAACAAAGCATCCGCATGGTTTGTTTCGGATCAAGGATTGATGAAAATCATAAATGCGGTCCGACCCTGTCTATAGCTCATCAAGGTCGAGTTGTTGGCTTGGTAGCCCTTTCGTCACGGAACTGATAAACTGTCTTGCTTGTGTTGACAAGGACAAAGACAAATACAGATGGCGGACTACACGTGTTGAACGTAGGCCCTGAGGAGATTATATCGTATCCGACAGTGCCATGACGATATAAGACACCCGCAAATTGGATTGCGAAGGAAGGGGTGTGTTTAGTACCTCGAGATGCATGCCTGTCATCGACCCCAGTCGATGCGGTCTATGATAGCTTTCTAAACGGTACTGTTGGTGCGCTTCAATCGGTCCGGAGTCCTATCACCAACGACAAGTGGGCTAGGATACCTCGCATCTAGCCCACGCATATGAGCATGTTTCCCCAATTTGTGAAGCTCTACCATCATCCCATGGAGGCCTGCCCACTTCTGCGGTACCTTCTCCGGCATGGGGGAGTTCTGGTACCCTTGCTCAACTGAAGAGATTGCTGGCCAGTAATTACGACCAAGGGTTATGAAGAAGGAGGGCCGGTATACGTTTGCTGTGCGAACTACGCTCGAATGCTTCCGACTTGATCCCGATATCACAAGGGCAAGACGGCATGGTCCCACCGGTGTCTTCTGCATGTCGTATTGAAGATTGAAGCTGGGTCAAGGCAATATCACCACAGCTGGATTGAATGCAGAAAACTTCTGCCAATCGGGCCATCACAGTTGACACGCCGCGGCGGGGATGCCGGGCCAGGAACCATATCCGGCAGGGGCATGTGGTAAACCGGAACCTGTGATACAGTCAAAGCACGATGCTACCCATAATTACCAGCCGTACTTGAACAGTGTGGTGGAAAGTAATAGTGCCTCATCACAGCCAAAGCCCAGGTATGATCGACCCTACGGTCAGAGGCCGAGTATAATGACTGTTGGTACTTATCCTCTCTCGGGTTACAGATAAGCGTGACTCAGTCTCCATCAGGTAGGGATACAACATCGATTTATGACAAAAGCTATCATCGAGGTGGTAGATGCTAGTGAAGCCTGGTATGGGCTGCATAGTTGGTCAGCACACAGCAGATGGAAGATAGGTATACAAGCGATAGAGTTGCCCTGAGGTGTCGATGGCGCTTACCGGTTGCATGGTTATGGCGGCTACTCGGTCCTGTGATTGGCAGATTGGGCGCCATCACAGACATAATCGCGAACACGCGGGTATAAAGCGTAGTGAACGGTAAATACCCACTCAACCTCGCCAATTTACCACCCTTTCCCAAATATTGATCAGGGCAAGAGCCGCGGTGTTGTTAGTTCTCTTCACTTTCCCCTATGCCGGAACATAGTGAGTTACATGCCGGCCCTCGCTTGTTTGAACGCCAAGAGCCGCAAACAGCCGATGAATCAACCAACAGTGTCCCTTTGGATCCCTCGTCTATGTTGAATGCCATAGACTCCGCGGACTCGCAACGCTGTCTCCTGTCCAGGATGCTCATGAAATATGGTGACTTTCGTGGGATGGCCAGAAGTTTGCCCGTCTTATCCTAGGACTAGGATACCTTTTACCCTCAATAGCAAGGAAGGACTTGTGAGATATGCTCATGGACTGGCCGCAGCGCGGTATGCAACATATGTGAGCGTTTTAGCGATGCATCGAACACTGAGCGCCGTGCCACCGTCATGAGATATGCCGCCCTCACCTTGAGCCAAGATTGTTGAGTGTGTCCCAGATCATGCGTTAGTTACGAAAGATCACTATGGCGTCGGAAACCAATCTATGACGTCCCCTCATTGATGCTCGAATGTGATCATTTCTCATCATGTCGAACTGGTGTGCGCCCTGAAAAGGTCAGTCGATTGCAAATTTGTGCGAGTTTAGGGGTTTTAGAGAAGACGCATCACATCACCATCGCCTCACAGCTGAGGTACAGTGTATCCCAAGACGCTCTTCCAAAAAAAAAAAAAAAAAAAAAAAAAAAAAAAAAAAAAAAAGAACAGCAACCTGGGCGAAGAGCAGGCAGACTCCGCAGTCACACGCACTGAACGACTCCACCATCTTGTCCGGGTGAGGGAGCGTCTTCGGTCGTACTGCCGCCAATGAGACCATGTGTTTCCATGGTCCATCTCAGATGGCATCTTTGGTCGAATGCAGAAGAGGCTGCAACAATAGGCGACGGAGCTCTCAGGTCCTCGCTCGACGCCTTTGGCGAGTTGAGAGCAGGGGAGTGTGATATTCCTCCGCCTGGGCCTCCGGAAACCCTCCATGACGCGCCTCCAACTAACCAACCCGACGGTACTATGTTCCCAATGCCCCATCCACATGTTGCTCGTCGACGTCTAGTGGGCCGGTATGTCAGGCCCGATTTTATATCGGCCGGAGGCGGAGTGTTGGTGGTTGAAGCACGGTAGCTTCCAACATGGCTGTGGTGGCCGCAAAAGGCGGCCAGAGGGCCAGTAAGCGGGGTCCCGGTCTAGCCCGAAGTGACCAAGCCAAAAGCGAGTCGTCTTCGGGGCCGCATGACGCTACCGTCACTGTTTCTCTGATACCGGTGGTGAGAGGACGCCAGCAGTTTGAGTCGGGGTGCAAGTCGGTCGCGAGGGCAACTGGAGTTGGCGATGGAATGGATCCAGAAGGTGACCGCTGTTGGGCTGCAGCAGGTGATTGATTTGTGCAAGAGATGAAGAGTCGCAGAAAATTGGAGTTTCCCTGTAGGCGAACCCCCCGATGAACATCCGACCCCCCGCACTCGCTCTGATGGTACAGAAGCTGCACTCCCCCAAGTTTCAACTTCCGTCGCTCTTTCCACCAGTGAACGCTAACAGATCCCAACCGCAAACCGGGGACATTTTACACCACACATGGACTTTTACCGGGAAGCACGAGCTCCCCGAGACACGGAATCGCCCTTCCCGTTCGGGCTGATAAGCATCTCGAAGACATCAATAGGTACCTAAGGTAGCCAAAAAACAGAGAAGAAAAAAAAAAAAAAAAAAAAAAAAAACCAAGGAAAAGTGGGACGATTGCGTTGTCGACAGCCCGTACCGTAGAGCAATCTGCTAGGGCGTGGACATTCCTCAGGTGCAGTGGTACGAAGAGAAGGTTGCAGCGAGGAAGGCTGCTGTCACCGGTACGAGATTGGAAGGAATATTGAGAGAAATTTGGAGACCCCTGGCGGCGATCCAGTTCAAGCCAGACCGGGAAGGTTAAAGTCCCTGATTGGCGATATGTAGTGTAGACGGGGCAGGCACAAGGAATGGGGCATTGGCCATTTCGACGCCCCGTGTGAATACAGTCAAGACGAAACCAGCATCACCAGCACGCCGGATAAGGTACCTTACATATAATAGGGCACGCAGGGCAGACGGCTCGCCCGTTCCCAGGCCGCGGCGACTTTAGCGCGATCTGGATATTTCAAAATACTACCTCTACCTATCTCCCTCTACACTTCCACTTCGTCACCCCCGTTCCCTCGTTACCTCCCGTCCAGACCTCCGATTGAGTGTGGGTAATAGCAGCGTGCTACGGGCGCAATGTGCCACCCACCACTGTCGTTACTACTACAGCCCAGGTAGGTAGGTACCGAGCCCTCCAGGCCCTCCAGGCCCTCCATCCCCAGGCAGGGCACCTTAGTACGGGCAGGCGAGGGCTAGTGTACCTAGGCTAATAACTCTGACCCTGGAGGGACATCAGATCATCACTGCGTGCGGCATCTCGACCGAACTGGGCAACGAGTTCCAGAAAACAAGCATTTTGCAACTTTTCGACAACCCCCCTGGCCCTCTCCAAGACATCCAGGACCTGTTCGCTCAGAACGATGCCCGGCCCCAAGTCACGCGAGCCACGGTTCATGCGACAAGGTCATTGTGTAGAACGACACTACTCAGATGGCCTAGGTTCAAAAGGGGAAACTGGTCCTGGAGATGGAGATATCGAGACTTCAATCTTGGCGAATCTCGGCCGCTTAGAGTCCTCTTTCGGCGATGCAGTCTCTGCTGGATTACCCATTTCGGTAATAGCGACAATCAATTCAACCCAATGGAAATCATGTCTCAGCACATCACTGTCTTCATCGCTGCGTGAAGTCAGCGAATCGCATCTTTGTACCCCCCCTTCCCTGGACACCCATATCCGATTACGTACCTTGCACCCATGACAAGCCAGGGCGAAAGGAGTAGCCCGCAGGTCAACCCCAGTGGTTCTCTCCCTTATTCCACGAAATCACCTTGCCTAAAGTCAGATGTTAATCTTCAGAGCCGCTCGGTTCCCTTTGCTGAGGTGAGAACCTAAATGGACTCGGATTCTGGACAAATCGGATTTGTCTCGGTGTGTACCGACCTCTATGGATGCAAACCTAACCGTAGTACTACCTGACGACGCTGCCTGTATCTCGTTGGCTGCACTAACAAATTCCGGCGACCCAACCCACCATTTGCGATACTTACCTACGGCAAGCCCAGCAGATGGAGGAAACGAGACGCCCCTCAATCAACCCATATTCGACTGCTTTGCTCCATGGATTCCATGGCAAGGCAGTCGGTGTTGGCGGTTCATCGATGTCTGCTTAAGTCCTCCATGATATGTCGATCCAGATTTGCAGTAATGGGTTGGCCGCCTGTATGCGACCTCACCTCTTCAGCCTCGAATTCTGCGCCTCAAGAGGCCGACACATCATGACCACCACGAATCGTTCTATGTAAGTGACTACCCCGTTTTCCGGCGCGATTTTTGATTACTGGCCTTCTGAGGCTGGTCTGGTCGCCTAAGAAAGGACCACCTCCCTCCAGATGAATTCCAGTTACACGTTTGTCTGTCTGTGTCACATCATCAACAACAACACCAGAACGCCACTGTGCCGGGACTGGTAACCAGACAGGAGTCTCTTACGCCTGAATATCTTCTGCGCCCACCCCAGGCTCCAGCGGGCCCGGCTCAAGCTTGGCCATCTGGAACTGCCCACTTCACTAAGTCCATCAAGGCTAGCCTCATTGTGTACTCCAATATGGGCCGGGATAGCCTGGTCTCGTTCTGCACACCCCCTCCCTATTGAACGAGCAAGGATTGTACACAACTGGAGCGACCGGAATTCGTGACGGAAGCCAATATCTCTGCAAGTGAAGCGGCCTTCCTTGCTCGTCAGGGGCATTTCCCAGCAATCTGCGTTGCCAGTTAGGGCTTTTTCTTTACCCTTGCTGCCTCTGCCTTACCTTGGGGTTGCAGGAGGTTGCCGAGAGTTGGCCGTACCTTAGCTCTCCTTCGTCTCTGCTCGTCCCATGTCTCTCAAAAGGTACGTCGTCCCCTGGTTCGAGCTCCCTCGGACGTACCATTTACATGGCAAGCAAGCATATTGGCCCTCTATACGGATCTATCTCGAGTTCTGCCGCGGCACCCTACTGTATTCTACACAGACCTGATATCAATTTTCTCTCTGTCCCTTCGCTCACCACACGCGGCAGCCAATGGCCTGGTAGGACGGTGCTTGTTTAGGTTTTGTAGTCCCAGCCTAGCATACCAACAGAACAATCGCATGTCACTACTGGCCCTGATCGACCCACCCATCTCTTGACGAACTCTTTTCCCCACGGAGAGATCATACCTGGTGCGTATGAGGCACCGCAAACTTGGATGCTACTATACCGGCCCAACTGATTCTTTGGCTAATCTACCCAGGTTTGAACACACTTTCCTCCCGGCAGCCATCACAGAAAAACACACCTCTCCCGCACTGTCGTGTCGTCCTTCTTTATCGAGGGCTATATGCAGCCTTGACACTCCTCCCCTGGTAGCCCACCTGCTTGCTCTTCCCGATCCAGAAAGCACTAGACGTCTTCCCGTGGCGTCTTGATAGGCCCGGCTGTTCTGACCACCCCTAACCCCTTGCCGCATGCCTCCCGTACATTGACCCACACTGCTTCCGTCGTTGTCGGAGGTATCGAACGGCGAAGGTACTTTCGTCTACGAGCACGTCGCGGGGGCCCCATCTTGTCCTTGCTTGAATCGAGAATACCCTTCACATCCACCTTGGAACTATCAACCAACAGTCTCTATCCATCCTTGCCGGCTTCGCCACTACACCAGAGGTGCCTACTACCAACAACATTAGAGGGAACACTTGGCTGATACCAGTAGTTTGGTTACAACCGTTCTCTGAAACAGGAATTGGATCTGGACATACTACCAAGCAATCTACGCCTCCTGGACCTTTTGCGACATTTTGCCTTGTCAAGTCGTGGATCGTGACAAGTATATAAACACTCGTCCATACCATCTTGTCTTCACTTTACTCCCATCATCCCATCACACTCGCCACCTCTTCTCTACATCTACGCAACAGCCTCCATCTTCGATCCAACACAATCTGACGTGTAGTCATTACCTCCTTCTCGTCCTTTGATCCAAACTTTCATCAACCGCAAAAATGTGCACCGTCTACATCACCCGCTTCACTGCTTGCGCGCATGTCAAGAAGGATCCAGTTGATTGTGCCTCCAAGAAAGGGTCAGGAAGCAGCACTTGCCCTGACGGTCCTGTAAAGGAGGTTGTCCACACGGCGGAAGGCGACTGCGGACAGCATTGATAGCGCGGAGTCGTGATATGATACAAACAGGAGCTACTCTCGTACGTTGGTCTCTCATCTACCGCTACATAAACTTTTCTGACCAATGTCTTGCAGATGATTAGCATCCCTGAATCAACAAGCACGGAACGACAACCCTTCAGAACCTCCCGAATACGCAGCACTTCCGCCTTTCTATCTTTGGGCAATTATTATCAACCTCTTGGCACACATTTGCGCAATCCATTGCCGGCTTCAAAGTTTCAAAGGCACACTGGGTGGTGATGGGGGAGGACAAGCACTGGTAGAAGATGTGGGCGTTGGACGGGAGTCAGGCCTTGGCTAATTTCTCGGCTGGTCCAAGAATCGGGCTTTTCTGGCGCTGAACTCCTTGTGTACGAAGGAAACCGGGCGGCGGCTTTCTTATTTCCATGTTTTTCTTTACTTTTCTCCTTTGCACATATTTTTTGTATCTGGCCAGATTTGTTTTTGTTTCGCTTTTCATTCGCAATTCACTTGTCTAATTGTCCCAAATTCAAACTCGTAGCTTCTGTAAATCTTTCCTACTTGTTATCCCTGATCTGAAACGTATCATAAGCCTGAGATTTTGGTAGCATGACCAGTTATTCTTCATTTCTCTGCGCTTTTTGCCGACAAGTCCAGCTTTTTGCAGTAGTCACATTTCCCCTTCCCCTTTGAAGGAAACCAACGGTCAAAGTGCGCAAATTGTTAGCGGCCCGGACCGTATGATCCGATCAGAAAGCAAAGTATTGCCTTCAGACGCCGTTCCCGCGTCGCTTGCTGCTGTGCCATCGCTAATATCGCAAGGAATATACACAGTAGAGGTAGTCACTACTGGCGTACACGTATGCCACATACAACCTGCTAACCCTCTATGTAAGCGTATTTCTGGCATCGCGCCGACCTACAACTCGTGAACACGAAAGCCTCCAAGGTTGTTGGACTTTCGCAATAGCAAACATCAGCCAAGGTAGTCCGAGGAGTTGGAGTCTGTTAGAAGAATGCCTTATGGTTCTGCCGTTTTCGGCTGCAGGGTCCGGTCTGCGGCCGGCCTCAGGTCGTGTAAGTCGCCAGGCCTGGCCTGATTCGACCTGGCCAGGCAGAGTTCCAAGCGGGTTAGGGTTACAAGCTGGCCGCCCCCCTGCTTGTCTTCAACCACCCACCTAAGTAGCCAATTGTTGACAATTGCCTGCATAATATCCTTGCATCGAAAGTAAACGGGGCAACGTAATATTTACCGAGTTCAAATTGAGGCTATCCGTCTTGTAGTACCGCAGCTGCGGACAGCGTTCGAAAGAAACCTCCGCTTGTCAAGAAATTCTCCGTGACAAGACAGCTCTGCCCGCATGTTGTTGTACATGTGCATGTTTGTCCATGTGTTGCTTGTCACACTCCAACCACATGCTGAATCACCTCTGGCAAAGAGAAGCCGGAAGCAAGCGAGCGTCTTGTGAGACTTTGGCAAAGCTCGTGTTGACAAGTGACAATTATGGAGGACCTGGCGTGCCATGTTGTTCTGACCTGCTGTGTTTGATGTTGTGGTTTCCATGCCGGAATAGTGCATTCTGAGAACTCCCGTGCTGTGTGCGAGAGGGAGGAGTGTTTGCCTCGACCCTATTCTCATCATCTTCCAGCCGCTTTCAAACCTCCCTCATCTCTTTTGGGATTTTGAGGAGGCTCCCTGACACCGGACGTGTAGCAGGATCATTGGCCTACTACTTCCATAGCTCATCTTTGCCTTAGACATCGTCTCGAGGGCCAAAACCCAGCGATCACTGCCCTTAGACGACGTTGCCAACTCCCTGCATAATCACATCACCAGCAGCACTCTGTCTTCGCCTAGGTAGACGATAGCAAACCTCTCCACCTTACTATTGGAATCACGCCTCCTACTGCACCCCAAGACAAGAAGTCTCTGACAACATCATCAAACTTCTTGACTGGGTCTGTGTCGACCTGATATTCAGCCTATGAGTGATACCTATTGCCAGTTCAACACTAACCCCCAAATCCATGCTTACATCGAACCACCTCAGCGACTGTTTGTTGGCCAGCTAACGCGGGCCGATGGCGCGGCAGTTGCCCAATGTGTGGCCTTGGAAAGCCGCGGCCAGACGCCCAGGCAGATAGACGCAGAAGACGCAGAAGACGCAGGCATGTTCTGTCATGTGTTGGTGTGCATCTTGGGGGCCTTCCTTCCTAATTGAACCCGGGTGAGACAGGGCATGTGAGAAAATCTTCAGTCCCGTGCCTGGTCCATTTTTTTTCAATTTTCACTTTATCTATCACCCAACCGACCTGGAAACAACCTATTAGTCAGGTAATAGGAAGGAGCGATGCGATGCAGTCAAGGTGGAGGGGAGAGGGGGTGCTCCAACAAGGGGAGCCTCCGAGGTCCAAAGATCCGATGCGGGAAGGAGCCGTGGGATGCTGCCAATACTTGCCGGTACCCGCATCAAAATACCGCTTTGCACTTCCCAGTCCGCAGCGTCAAAGTTGAATTAATGCAAATTGCCCGATGACCTGAGCGTTTTGATAGTAGTGGACAAAAGAACAAAGTGGGCTGGCTACACTACTACTAGGTACTACTGTAGGTACTTCCCCCGCTATGTGCCACTAGTACACATTGAGCAAGTGTGGGGTTGGCAATAGCCGCAGGAATCCACTTTTGCGTAGCGTAGGCGCGAGCAAGCCGACTTTTGTTGGCCCAATCGTTTTCCGCTTACTCTTTTCAACCACCTCTTCCGCGACTCGGCCCATACTTTCCACAAAACATCACTTTTCAAGGAACTTCTTGGACCCGGACTCGCACACTCAACGGCATCTATACGGCACTCTTTGTACGACGGACCCCGACGCGCACCGGCACTGGAAAGGCAAACGAGAAATCCTTCACTCTAAGCCCAAGGGAGATCAACGTATGCAGCCACCACTTGTTTTTCCAGCAATGAACGAACCACATCCCCGCCACTCCTTGGTCCTCCAACCTACTCCTTCGCCGCAAACAAAGGGACACTCAGATGCATGTTTCGACGTCCTGCTGACCACTGTGTCTCTCTTCGCACCGCGGTCCAATCCTGATCAGGTTGTTCTCCCCAGAACACAGCCGTAGACCTATGATTTATCACCGAGTCATAATCGCGGTCGCGAAGGGGAGACTTCATCGAGTGGAGATAGCTTCCAGCAGCATGGCGATAAATCTAAACGAGGATAAGCCGCAAGCGCAAGCGATGTCCTACCCCGCCGAACATGGCCAACAACTCAAGGCCATGTTCACAAGCCCAAACATCTACCGACTATCTGGGAAAACGTTGCATTTTCCGATTGCCCATAGCGGTAGCGGCGTAGGAAAGTCGCAGCAATACGAGCCATCTTAGGCAACTCGTTGCTATGTGATGATGCAGTGCACCTATCGCGCAAAGGGATTATGTCCTTCGGCCGGCCATGTCACCACAGACGTGACGACTCCGCTGATAGTGCAGATGCCGCCATCACGAACGCTTTCAGCAAGCACACCACTGCAAAAGTCACAAGCACCTGTAGTGCCTGATCTGATGCCAGTATCACCAGCCGTGCTGTATACTTCAACGTTTGGTGTGGCCGTTCCCGCCATGGCCCCCGTTTATGGCCCCCAGTATGCCGTACAGTATCGTCACATACTGTGTCTGTTACGAGCTATGGCTGCCGACTCCATTTTGCACAACACATCTCCACCGGGGTACGCCAACACATGTAAAGCACCGCACCGCGTACCTTGCGATGCCCAGAGGTAGGTAGGTTGGCACTATGATTCTTTACCCCCGCACCGCACATCGCGCGCCGCCGTAAGCCGGACGGCAGACGGGAAGCCTTTCCCGCACGCACAGGTTGCGGCATGCATCCCTTGATGACATGATGCTGGCTGGGCAAAAAGACAGAAACGGTTTCTCCTCTTACTCGCGCCGGATCCGAGTCCCGTGATACATACAACAGGAGGGTGGGCATTTCCTGGCATCAACATGTCACAATCTTTGTCGACAATGCCTGATGAGGCGTCCAGTGTCATACTCCGTTCTACTCTAGGAAGGACAACAGTTTGCGCCATGGCAGATCAAGCAAGCAGCCTATGCACATAACCTTGTGCTTCACAACATGAAGCCAGACATTCACAGCTCGGGGCAAGGGTTTGAACCCCCCTCCTTTTCTTTTTCTTGGCTTGAACGGTCGTTTGATCTCTTGTTTTGTCCACCCGTTATCCGACTCGCTTTTCGCTGTGCCACCGGATGTTGGCTGAAACCTTGATGATTTTCTTGCGCTGTTTCTTTGAACCCCTCGATCATTACCAAATGTACATCTGGCACACTGGTACCTGACTATACAGAGCCTAGGTGGGATGGGTTGGTCCGGGTTTGAGTATGGGATGAACGACAATCATCAGTAGTGGCATACCCTACCCGATACTTTTGACCGGCGCGATGTCCGGCGGCCCTGCTTTGGATTGTGAACCCATGTTGGACATGGTCTAGTGTTTTGGGGGGTACGCCTGCTTCCTTATGCCCGTAAATGGACCAGAGGGAGATGTCGTTCTGGAAAGAGATGCCCGATGGAAAAGAAACGAGATTACCGTCTAAACTGATAACAGTAGGTTGGTTGTGCCACATTGCGTCAAGATCATTGCGAAATGCATGGGAATTGGTATTGACATCACTGGCTAAGAAACAAGCGAGGAATATTCTCTCGCGTGCCCTGGTGGACGCAATGCCAACCCTGTCCCGATGATGCAAATCGATCCTCCCTTTGTTATTTTTGACGACGCTACTAGGCTCAATCTCTGTAGGAGTGGAATGGGCTAGCCTTGGAGAGCACACATTCGACACTTGCCTATTCCAGCAGGGCGAATCACTCAAGTCGATTGATCTGAGCGAGGTCGGCCTTATAGTCAGGGGGTGTACATAGTTATTCAACCCCAGCAGGAGGCTGTCTGTGCCTCTCTTTTGCGTCTGTGGCCCCAGATTGAGCTGCATTAACGTCTATCAGCCCCAGACAAATAATCCTGGCCGCGACAAGCCAATCCCAACGTCACCTCGTCTCGCAAACCTCACTCGCAATCAACTGGAGCGGATACCGCCTCATCGCAATGCACCACAATGTATACAACTTCCCCATCATCGTCACCAACAACGATAGTCGATCATCTAGGTCCGATTATTGCTGCCCGAGCCTAGTTCGACTTTCCTTTCAGAGCAGGAAGTTGGTGAACAGAGGGCGGCATCGCGCAAACTTGGGGTAACATTGACCACCCGCTGGGAGAGCAAAGATGGGGCCAAACCTTGTGACGAGAGTAGGCAATCCGTTTCATTCGATGAGTTAAGCGCGAGTGGCTTGAGCTTAGTCGCACCAGACCCCAAACCAGCCAATCGGGCCCCGGCAATTCGGATACCAACACGCTAAGCCGGCCAAAAAGAGGTTACGCTTTTGCATACCTCTAGGTTCAGTCAGCCGCCCCCGCCCCGACGACGACTGCCCCGCCCGGCCCGGCTGCGTCTCCGCCGTTGTCGTTGTCTGATTTCAAATGTTGTGAACATGGCCGAAATGGGCAAAGCGATAAATGCTAGAGGGGCACTGGAAGGGATCAGGGAGTCGGGGAAGTCAGGAATGGGATGTGGACGCGGAACTGGCAGTTAGCGAGATCATCGCTGATCCCATCTTGGTTTAATGTCGTGCCAGTGCTATCCGCGGCGCAAGGGGGGGGTCTACTTTTTTGACGAACAGTTCACTCTAACTTCTTTCTCCTTCCACGCCATACCCTACAACCTGCTCGCAAAGAAGGGCAGCGAAGAAAAAAAAAAAAAAAAAAAAAAACCGGGCTTAGTCGTTCTCATTTGGTAAGGCCGGACTCCAGTCCTTATTAGAGACAAGTGGGTTTCACACTAAGTAGAATTCAGAATGCCGTCACACTTCTGCTTGTCAGTGCATCCGGAACAGATGATACTCCGTGATGGCGTGATAAGCATCCCGTCATTACGGACTGGCCGACTTCCAGACCGGGTGTGTTTGATCTTTTCTTTATTATTCTTTCTAACGCCTCTCACCTAGCTTTACGCCTCAGAGACTAGTTGCAAGCCACATGGAACAAAGTGAAGTTCGGTATGAGCGAGCGGGTAAGCCACCTGAACGGCACCAGATTCTCCCGGCCGGCAAAAACAAATCGATAAGAAAACCCCAAATCACTCTTCGCCTTGAGATTTCGTTCAATGGCACGACCGGTAACCGGTATGTCCCGCCCGGAAGGACCAGCGTAGCATTCCAGTACCCAGCGCTCACAAAACAAGTAGTACGCAAGACATTTGGGATTATGGTTAAGTTCCCCGGGACATGGGTGCTGAACAACAGTTAACAACGGTTGCATGTCAAGAAGACCAGAATGAGAGCCGCCAAGACGAGCTGCCTAGCAATGGGTGTGTCTCAGAGGGGTAAACGCTGGGGGGTAAGCCTGTGGAATACAATACAGTGCAATCTTGTGATTGGATTCTTCTTCATTTTGGAAAAGACATTGCGCTCGGCCCACATAGGTGCCCAAGCCACAGAGCCAAACTGTCGGTACTTTATCGAGTCACGTGAGTGACCTCGCGTCAATGAATGCTTCTTCCGCGAACACTTTTCCACCCTTGTTTGCCTCCCAACCCATGGACTGCTGCTACCTCACCGTGGACGGGGAAACGGGTGAACGGGTGCCGAGTTGCAAAAATACTACGTCAGATTTTGAACTGACGGCTTCATTTCCGAGGAGTACAAATATTTTGAAATTGCGCACAGGCCTGTTTTTGTTTCTAGGTAGTGTACTAGTCAGGGTCGTCGCTGACGGAAGATGCGAGGAAGAAAAAAAAAAAAAAAAAAAAAGAAGAAGAAGAAAAATGGAAAACACAAAGAAAGAAAAAGAGGGAGCACGCACAGGCAGGGGTGGAACAGTCTGCGCCGCAGCCGAATGCAATGCCGGCCGCCGGGGCGATGCGATGCGGCCCATTCCACCGACCCGGTCGGCCTCACGGTCTCCGCAGTCCGGCCGCATGCTGCATGACCCGACCACGGTCCACGGTAGGACCCCGGTCACACCGACTGACTGCCTCCGAACTTACACTACGACAACCGCACACATTACCGCACTCATGATTATAACCACAACGATGATCTACAATCAATGACAACAATGCCGCACCGGGTGGTCGACCTCGATGCGACCACCGTGACAACGCGCAACGAGTTTTGATAGTGCCGTGAATATTTCTGATGTCGATGAGTTGCTGAGCCACCTTCGAATATGTGAGGTACAGTTTCGGGTACAGTGCTATCCCTCACTGTTGATGTTTACTGAGTGCATACGCACGGCATCATCATCAAAGTCAACAAAACCACCACCACCCATATTATTACCGTCACGTTCTGAGGGAGTGTCCAGTGAGGCAAACCACTAACTGCTGGCCAGAGGTGGATGAACTGCAAACTGCATGATGGAAATCACATCACCTTAGTCTTGCTCCCTCACTTTTACTCGCTTCACACACTCGACACTCCCTCACTTCGCTCGACCCATCACTCCATTTAGGGGCACACTACCGTCACTCAACTCAGGGCAGGAGGTGCTTCGGGCTGTGCGTGACAGGCTCGTTCATGGTCATCATCATCATCATCAAGAAGTACCAACAGATTGGAACTTGGAATTGCAGCACTACCGTGCCGTTGACGGACCGGAAGGGGGTAAATCAACCTTCCCCTGTCTTTGAGTGAAGACTGGACCAGACTGATTTCAGTAGATGTATTCACATTGGTCAATTCGCGAAGTGAGTGGTGAACAAACAGTTCGGACTGTGACATGGTGACGACATGTATGAGAAAAGCATTCACTCCCTCATGCGTGATGAATCACGCATCGTTCGAGTTTCATCATCTTCTTCCCCCCCTCCCTTTCTCTCTCTTCCCCTTGGTCTACTCCCAAATGAACCCAATGTCCGCATGCCTCGTACCTGCATCTAGATACAGTAGGAGGAGTCCTAGACGTGGGAGGTAACTAGGTCGTTTCATGACAGAGCAATAGATTGAATGCATCTGTAGTTACATCACTTGCCTGCTACTGCCTCTAGGTACTCAGCACAGTCACTCATCAATTGCACGGTCACCAAGGCAAGAATGTTTCGCGTTTGTGGAAAGGAACAAGCGGGAAGACGCCAGAATGAAAGCGAATGCGAATTCAAACCAATAATGCTTGAGTTTCTAGATCGGTGTGTGTGTTACCTGCCTGCCTATCTGCCCATCTCCCTCTCTCTCCAGATCATCACCTTGACAATTTCATATGGTGTTGGTAACCTCACTTTCCAGATATACTCACTCCAGGGCAGAGTCTACTCGTCGACAGTCTTTACCTCTTTCGGTTTGAAAAAAGAATAAAGAGAAGAATCATAGTTCCAATTTCATTAACCCATGAGGCTGCTACCCCTTAATCAGGACAGCCACCCTCGGATACTCGGGCACTCTGATAAGGCCCCAAGGCTATATTACCAGGAGGGCTACACTGTAAAAGTGCCTTGAAACATTGTTTTCTTCATGTGTTCCTGCATGGGTGATGCTCAACTCCATCTCTTGTAAGTGGATAGGTAGCTTTAGAGCCAATGATGATACTTGCAGAAAACCTTCTGCAGGCTGAATACGGTAGGTACTCTCGTATTCCCTCTTGCGAATTCCTTCTCATTCTATGAGCGAGCGTCTCTCCCGAGAGACTGGACTGGCCCTCCCTCCCTCCAATCCTCATCCCACTCACTCACTCCAAACCAATTACCGACACCACCCTGAATAAAGATACCGTACTGTATCCAACTTGCATCCCATGGACAGGGCAGAAGCCCTTCTCCACCTGAAGCTTTACCCGGACCCGGGCGGCAAACTTACCAGGTTGGAACTGACAGGTAGACCGACCTGATCTGATGTACCACCTGGTATCTTTGAGAATATGTACTTGTCAAAAGGGGTCCATGTTCTCGAGCAGCCAAGACCATCTAGATAGACCAGGGCACACAAGGTTGGTACTTACTTCTTCTAGTGCTGTATCAAAAGTGGAAACTACCAACTTACCTACCATACCTACCTTAACTGCCTTGTTCGTGGCGTGAGAATACCTAGGGTAGGTAGTTGGGCACTGGCGCGGGAAAGACTGAGCGAGCACTGCACTGCACTGCAGTGATTAAGTAATGGAACGGGCGGACGGGCGGACGGGCGGATGGATGGGCGGATCACGCCTTCCTATTGTAGAGCTTGTGCTCTGATTTGATGTGCCGCTGAAGGCAACTGAACTGAACTGAATGAAGTGACGGGACACGCGATTTCCAATCAAGATACGATGGAAAGAAAAGGTACTCAGATTTCATGATAGCTGGTGGAAAACAATCGGAGTCCAGCCTGATCGGGTTTATTGGATGGATGCAAGGCGATGTTGGGGAACATCATGGCAGAGTTGAAGAGAGGAGGAAGAAGAAGAAGAAATGACAGACATGATATTGGAAAGACACACAGGTCATGTCCTGTCCTGGCCATCAGAGCAAACTTGGGAATGCCTTTTTTTGGTTTCTCATACCATGAACTCCGCAGACATCAGAACAACTGAGATGATTTACAGCCGAATTTCCATGCGTTGTCTACTAATTCCCAACCCACTCCTTTTTGTTCATTCACCTACCGACCCTTCTCAACATATCCGTCAATGACCCGCAACCCAGTCTATATATCTCCTCAAAAATAGCCCAACCCACTCCACCCGAGCACCACTCCCAACTCCCCTCTGACCTCCTCCCACTCCATCCCTCCTTCCTGCCCATGCAACCCGTTCAACCTCACTCCCGCCAAACTCAACCCACCACCACCTCCCATCATCTTCCCACTCCCCGCTGGATTGACCCCATGTGCACCGGTACCAACCACGTACCCGGCCCGTCCCGCCATTTCTTGCCGTTTGCCCGTCCCCAGCTCCAAGAACCGCTCCAGGATTTTACCGTCGACAATGTTCCTGCCGATACCTGCGTCCACGCCAGGCAGCTGCATGCTGGCCGAGGCGGATGGTGAGGGCAGGCGGTAGCCCTTGGGGTTGAGGCCCGCCGGGTGGGGGAGGCCGTTAGTAAGTTGCACTGCTAGAGAGGAAAGGCGGCGGTAGGCGTTCTCTTGAAGGGGGCGGAGGGTGGCAAGGACGCCAGTAGGGGAGGCTAGGAGGAGTATGTGTGGAGAGTTTTCTTCCGAGTTGGAAGACAAGGAGGAGGGGTTAGGGTAGACGGCGGGGAGGAGGAGGGAAGAAGTGGGGTGGTGGGCGCCGGTGTTGAAGGTTGTGCGGTGGAGGAGGAGATGGCCTTGGAGGGATTTGGGATCTGGAAAGGATATGTTAGCTCGTGGATTTGAGAAGAAGGAGAAGAGAAGCAGAACAAGAGGGAATACATACGCTCGGGGTCAAATTGCAGAATGTGAATGTGACCATCTGCATCGCTAGCCACGATGTAAAGTTCCTTTCCATCAGGCAGGAAATCCGCATTCAACACCTCCATCCTAGTGGAGCTCTTGCCGAATAGCATCATTTTGTAAGGCTCTTCCGTATAACCCGTGAACCACACGCCCTTGAAGGCGTCGGCCATCAGACAGAGTCCCGTGCCGGGCAGCTCCTTGACACTCGTGACGTAACAGTTCATATCCATAAACGCCACGGGCAAGAGGGTCCCGTCTTCCTTGAGACCGCGCACCATACACTTTTGGCCCTGCGCGACGAGCATCAGACCTTGGGTACCCACCTCGGAGAGTGCTGTGACCGCGCCGCGCGGGATATCCTCCTTGGCGACCAGCTTCAGCTTCTTACTAGTCTCAGGCTTGCCAGGCTCGGGGATGACGTCGGCAATATCAAAGACGTAGACGCGGCCTCTGGTTGGAAGATCTTCGCCCTTGATGAGAGCGGTGCCGACAGCAATGAGCTGTTTGCGCTCGTTGGTCGACTCCGACACTTCAAGGTTGAGTGTCTCGACGCAAAGAACTGTCTCGCACGGCTCCATCTCCACGGTGTCGATGACAGTCCAAGTGATCCCACTAAGCAATTTTAGTACGCCGCGATCAACCATGGGCTTGAACGTGATATTCTCGCGTGCCCATTCCTTGTGGTAATCGTCGTCTTTGGGTAGCTCAAATGGCTCGACGTCGTTGCAGCCCACCACATAGGCCTGCGTAGGCGGATGGTAAGCCACCGACTGCGTGTCAACTCCTACGGGGATCTTCTTGACGGAGAGACCAAGTTCGGCGTAGCTGCTGTCTGTAGGAATTTGTGTCACCCTAGCGATCCCGTTGGTATCGGCGTAGATAAAGCCATGCTCGCAACCTTCGGTGTGGAAAGAGCTCATGGCTTGAACACCGGATCCCTGTAGGCTCAGAACCCTGGGACTGGACTTGGCTGTCTTCAAGATGAAGCTGGGCGACGACCCAGGAAGGAAGACGGTACTATAGCCAGAAATGTTGCTGCAGCGCCGCATAGGAAGGAAGCGCTGTGCATTGTGAGGCTCGTCATCGTCTACTGGCTTCTCCTCGGGGGCTTTGGCAAAGGTTGAGTTGGGTACTTTTTGGAAGAAGAGGGATTTTGAGAAAGGCTGTCCAGCAGTAGCCTTGAGCCGGTAGGGTTGGTATAGTGTGAGATCATCATTAGCATGGCGAAGCTGTACATCTATCGGTTAGCTATTGTCATGGCAAGACGGGTCTATGAGGACATACGATAAGATATGGTGATTTGTGAGTCGTGTCGCCCAAATCAGCAACCAAGATCTCCGCAACAGACTCTTTAGCTGTGCCTTTCCTGGCGGCATAGTCGGCAGAAAGTCCTGGTGGTATATAAGAAAGCCCTTCCGCCACATAAACTGGTTTCGTCAAGTCAGGTAGACGGTAAATCTAGTAAAGTACGTCAGCATGTCTTCATCCGTTCGTGGAGGTCCTGACGTCCTTACATATAAAACACCGCTGGTACTTAGCAGGAACATGAGGATATTGTCTTTTGTTCCCTTGCCCACCGTCTCATCGGCAAACACACCGGAGGTGTCGGTGTACAAGCATCCGGCCAACCACTTTGTGCTGGTCAAGATCTGATCCTCCTTCTCAACCTCTTCAAGTTCCAAGAGCTTTGGGCTCATTTCCGCGATGAACACGCTAAAGTCGTCCCGAATGAGAAGAAGGAATGGGTCAGCAATGCTGGCAGTCCGAACCCGCGGTTCCGCTCCTGTCTCTTCGTCGAGCATAGGCACAATCTGGCTTAGCCCCAGGTCTAGAGAGGTTCTATTAGTATGCCACTTGAGGCGTCGCGTAAGCTTTGATCTTACATACCTCCGTCATAGCAGCGTACTTCTGACTTGAGGACTTGGAGAATTCTGGAGTCCTTCCCCATGGTCCCTGCCTCCACCGTAAAACCAGCAGCCGGCTCGAATTCTGTTCCGGTGAGACTCTCAAAGCCAGCTGCCGTAAGGGCATACACATCAGACGTTTCATACCCGTCAAGGTCCACTTTGGCTACGATCATGAACTTGTGGTACTGTCCAGAGGTGTCGTAGTCATTGTTCATGGGGCCCTTATCACCCACCAGGGTTTTTGGAATGGGCTTCTTGGCACACACTGTCCAAAATCCTCTTGCCTCTGGGAACTCGAATCTTCCAATGATCTTTGGTTGTATCGCCAGGTTCATGATGGCAAGTGCGCTGGCTTTTCCTCGTCCCACGGCACAGACCAGTTGGAGGTCGCTGCGAACACCTTCAGAGTTTCGTTCCTCCTCGCTGTCGGGTAATGTGACGGGTTGACCATATGTCATCTTTTGTATTGGTGCGATGCTCAGGAGTCGGTCGTGGATGCGGAAGTTGAGATCTCCGCTTTTGATGGCTTTGGCGGCGGACATGGCTTGCTCTGGAGAAGTCGACTCCTCGCCATACAAGTCATCGTCGTCGTCGTCCTCGAGATCTTCATCGTCAAGGTCCAAGTCCAGATCGGCATCCTGGATTCGCGATTTCCTCTTCTGCGTTTGGCCCTGTCTCCTAGTCCAGCCAAGCAAGACGGAATCACCTTCTTCGGAGCCCACAAACACGGTAGACCTCCCCATCCGGGACAGCGAAGTAACACGGGACTGGATAACACTACCTCCCGCTTCTGGGGCTAGCATCTTGATGCTCAGGCCCGATACCGTACGGCCGTCGATGCGGAAGGTGATGAGCCCCAGGCGTCCGTCGTTAAGAATCAGGAGGAACTCCCCGAGTTCTGCCGCCAAGACGTCGATAGCGCAGCCTTCGAGACGAAGGTCCAGGTCGGATTGGTCGACAAGACTAAAAGAGGTGGTCTGCTTGGTAAGGGGGTTGACAGCAATCCCATTTGATTTGCCAGACTGGTCAATATGAATGAGTTCGTTGGCTCCTACGAGCAGAGCACCACCCACGGGTGCCGGAAGGGCGACAACACGAAAGAGATCCTGAGGCAGGCCATTGACAGCCAGGATGGTGGTTGACGCCCTTTGCTGGAGGTCTAGGGTGAAGACCATGTATGTAAAGTGGTCCTTGTGACCAAGCGAGTTGGAGGCGGTCTTGGTGGAGGACAGGACACCAATGGTGGGGTCTCGATACTCATGCAGGAAGGCGAGATGCACAGGATGAAGGAGACTAGCTTCAAGTTTGGAGAGGCGAAGGACGAAAGATGGTGAATATGGTGTGTCTTCTATAGTGCTAGCTCCATTTGCGACGGCGCCGGAAAGGTCCTTTTTGGGCCTGGGGCCGTCCAGCTCTTCATCCCAGTTATCCATGTCCATGTCCTCATCCGGCTGCTTGAAGGGCAATATGGCCAAGTTCCTTTCGCTGAACTTGAGCGCAGCGCACCTACTCGCTGGGTCTGCGACCAACAGAGTGGGATACTGATGCAGTGGCGCGACCCACGGACTTCCTACGAGCTCCTCTTTTTCGTAGTAGTGGATTGAGACGGTCTCGAGCGTGTTGCGTTCGACGTTCCACTCGACCAGACTAAGGCGGGCATCGCGGAAGGAAAGGAGCAAGCAGTCGGCGCCGCCAGACGAGCTGCCGCTGGGCTTCTTGATTCGGGCAAGACCTGTTATGGTGCCGGGTAGGGTGACCTCGGCAACAAGAACCAGCTTGGCGCTGTTGGCACGATCGGCCCTTGCGGCGATATTATCTCCTCCCAGGAACGAGGCCTCAAAGCCGTCATCGTCGTTTACGAGCCTGCTATCGTAGCGGCCGGCCGTGGCAGCCTTGCTGGATGTATTTGTCCCATTGAGTGTAGCGTAGGTATCGATCTCGGCGGAAACGACTTTGGTCTTGAAGATCTGGAGTAACGACGCTTTTGCGACGGCGAGATTAGTGCCCTGACCAGGGACGAGCTGGAGGGTTACTGAATGGGTGACAGCCGTAGGCGGCGTCAACTCTGTATAGCATTGCATCGTATGGGAGTCGGGAGCATGTCGATGCTAGACGAAGCTCGGAATAAGTCTGACGGCAGATGGTACTGCTTTCTGTTATGGTTTTGGTAAAGGTCAGCGCGCCAGTTGCAGAATGATTGTAGAAAGTGAAGACGAAGCTACACAGCCATATGCGCGGTGTGATGTTGAGCTGGATGATGGAGGATATGATTCCTCAGTTGTTCCAAATTGAGAAGAAGTTGACGACCATGAAGTCAACACCGACCGGGACCTCCAAATGATTGTCCCAATGCGCGTCGCGACTGATTGGCTGCAATGACCTCCAGTGGTAGGTAACGCTGGAGGTGCGCCAAGCATTGATCGAGTTGGAGAGCCAGTCGAGTCGGACTGGAGGTACGTAGGTACTGCGTACAGCACACACTACACAGTAGAGCAAGGGAATTGCCAGTGTCAGATCTGTGTGACGGCCGCCAGGGGCAGCTGGCCGCCGTTAGGTGAGAAAGCAGAAGCTCAGACCCGACCCCCAACGTTCTGGACCAGACCACACATAAGTTCTCAACAAGATATTACCGTAGTACAGCACAATGTGTAGCCGTAACGTGAGACATTATTGTACACAGCAAAATCAGCCAACCAACCCCTGTGACGCCATACGTTTGGGTTGACATTCCCGGGCGGGCAACAGTGTCAGAGGGGCTCTCAGTCTCCAACCACAACTGAAAGTTTGCCTGCCTCTTATAACTATCAAGAGATCCCGCTGGAGACGACATTGACGGTAGACGCCGAGACGCAGACGGGATTCAAACATCCATCTGGGCGGCCCGCCGGTGCCTGAACTTGAATCTCGTTACCTATGATTTTCCCACATGATCGCTTACTTACCACTGACAACACAACAATCCATCTCAACCGAACTACCTAAGCGAGCCGGAGTGGTGCCTACCCTGACGACTTTGGCTAACCAGTGGCCATCCTGCACTTCTTCCCGCCCAACCAAACAACAACGTCCTTCAATATTTACTTTTGCCAGCAACATGTGAAATATTTGAGGCGGGATACACACCTTACCTTCGTACCTTGCTGGACCCTTCTTTTCCAGATCCGATTCCTGACTGACTGACTGGGTGTGCCCCCTTGTCTGATGCACCCCACGTCATCCGGCTACTATTGATTGATCTTCTCCACGATTCCATCCGTACCACTGCGACTTCAACTTGTCACTTTTTTTTTTCCTCCCGTTCCACTGGGCTGGCAGCTGGCTGACCGTCAAAGTCCATTTCTTTCTCAACCTGCTGTGAGTCTTCACTCTTCACGTCACACAATCACCACCCAACAAGGCGGCCCAACAGCTGGGGTCTTGATGAAAGCGGGAAACCTTGACCAACCAACCCAAGCTAACCCATCTGATAGGTTCTTTATTCTTTTTCCATTGGTCCCCTCTTAGATAACGACAAACCTATGACCTACAAGGCTAGGCTAGGCCGCGGGGCAAACCATCGCTAGACACCCAAACAACAACCAGAGAGTCAAGACGAAACCTGAGCTAGACGGCGCCAGAATCGGCTATCAGGCCATTCAACCCATCCAAGATATAAACCATTCCATGTCACGTCTGCCGCCTTCGTGTCCCGCCTTTATACCCTTTTGCGATTGACCGGCCCATCCACCACTGCCCATGACCATACCCGCCTGCTCGACGTCACCTTGTCCACTTGATAAAGAATGATTTCCGACCCTCTTCGCCTCCTGGAATAGCAACGACATCTTTGTCGTCAGTTCCGTCTGTTGGTCAGCTATTTCCGCCGAGATGGCTTCCAGCTCACATAGGCCATTCAAGCTTCCCCTTGGTCCCCTTTCGCGCTCCAACAATGGCGATCATTCCTCCGAGTCCGATTATCCGGGCGGCCGTCGCGACTCCATGGCCGCCCTCTCTATCTCCTCTCATGTCAACCAGGAACAGCTCGCTCACACTCTTGACCGAATTCACAATACAGCAAGCCAATCTGGGGTCCTGACCACCTTCAATGATTTCGCCCCGCCACCTCCACCTACTGTGCCTGTTGCCGAGAAAAAAGGAACTACGGGTGACTTGGTACAGCAAGGCTTGAGTGGTCTCTACAGCCGTTTAAAGGAGGTTGTCGGGGTGGCAGGGAAACCTTCCGCCCAGGAGGCTGAAAGTTCTACTAACACCCAGGATGCCACGCCCAAAAATCTCAAGAGCCCGATTCCCAATAGCCCCAACAACAGTAGCACCAAGATATCGGTTGCCTCCCCTCCAAAGGGAGACGGTTCGTCCATCAAGTCGCTTTTTGATACAAAGTCGCCCTTTGATACAAAGTCGCCCTTCGATGCAAAATCACCCTTTGAAGCAAGGCATGCCTTTGACGGGCCCGCCTCTCTTGAGATCCCAACCGCTGTGTCTACTGGCACATCTCCAATTTCGCCAACCACCATTCCAGCAGACCTCCAGTCCCCCCCACAGACAACCAGACCATCACTTGGTACGCTGCCGAGCCTCAAGACCGGAAACTCAAGCGCACAGACAATTCCGAGGACGGGAAGGACGCCCCAGTCAACCGCGGCCAGCCCTACCGTTGCCCCCTTCATGGGAAAAGGGTCTCTCGAAAGAGACAGCTCTAGGGGTCCTGCCAAACACCTCGATGAGCCCTCAAGTTGGGGTTCTAGCCGGCGGAGCATCAGCAGACATGGTGACGGATCCACGTCGCCTAGCATTGCCGTGAGAACAAGTGTAGATACCACGACGGCCGCTTTGGCGCGCAGTAGAATGGAGGACGCTGTGAGTATCGACGGAGGCATCAACAGTCCCATGAGCCCTTCTGGGCCTATACCAGACGTGTGCATCTCCTCTGCCTCCTCGCGCTTGTCTGAGACCACTCAAGTCAAGCGAAGGCCTGCCATTATTGACCGCATAAGCCAGTCCAGAGTTCATAGCCATTCCAGGTCCTCGTCCATGGAACCTGGCAAGGCACAGCCAAGTCCCATTAGCACATCGGCTCACAGCACTATCTATCATGACTCATTTACTCACAATGTCAAACCACAGAGGTTGCAATCTGGAGCAATGAAAATCCCAGGCACCACGACAAACGAAGGAGCCCCCGAGGTCGTCAATGCTAGACTAGAAATGATGAAGAAGCAGGTCCTCAGCAAAGAGTTCTGGATGAAAGACGAAACCACCAAAGAATGCTTTGCCTGCGGGAGCCCATTTACTGCCTTTCGGCGCAAGCACCACTGCCGCACGTGTGGCTGCATCTTCTGTTCAAAATGCACCTCTACCATTTCAGGACAGAAGTTTGGCGTCCAGGGAACGCTTCGCGTCTGCAAGAATTGCTTGGAGGTCATAAACCGCCGCTATGAAAGCGGCTCAGATGATTCGGCGGATGAGCCCTTCTTGCCCGCCATCTTTCGTCCCAACCAGACTAAGCCGCCTCCTCTTGCTCTTGCTCGACCTCAGGCTGATGATGAGGTTAGTATTGCGGAGCGAACGGAGCAAGCAAATGACACAAGGTCGGCCAAGACACCAATGATGGCGATTCCGGCCACACGCCGAGTTGGCGACAGCAATCGTCACTCGGCCGTTCTGGAGATTGATATGCCACAGCTCAGCCGCCCCGGATCATCTCGGTCGCTGAGATCACTCGCGGCGGGCCGACCGCAATCATCTAGTCATCGCAGGCTTCATTCAAAACATACCTTCTTGACTAGGTTCAAGTCTTCTGCGACTGACGATAGGGCACCGTTTCGCAAGCCTGCTAGCGAAGACCTTGGGAGGAAATCCAAGCTCAGCGCCTTCCATGACGACAATATCATTGATCCAGAACTTGCCCCTTACATGTCGGACGAGTCAACTGATGACGAACAAATGAGTAGCATATTTGCAACCATGAACAGCAATGATGTGCCAGCGGCCAGCCTCGATCCCGACAAAACAAGCATGGGTGCCTTTATGAATGCTGCAAACAGAAAACATCGGTTCCGTCACGGCGAGAAGAGCATCAGCGGACTTAGTTATACCAGCAGAGGCCACGAAGATACTGGCTTACCAACTCTCTCTCTCCACACCCGGCCAACCCGAAAGAGAAATCTCAGCACTGCAAGTGTCACGGGCCATCCGCTGCGGTCACCTCGCCCAAGATCTGGCATCTTTAGCATGATGCTAAACCCGGGTGCTTCAGCTGACGCCTTGTCTCTCTGGGATAATCCTGGAGTTGTCGAAGCATCTGCACTCAGTAGAAGGGATTCTTACTTCGAGGGCAGGTCATCAGCCGGTGGATTAAACCCCATAAGCATGAACCACGTCAAGAAGCTTTTCCGGCAGCTTTTGAACGATGCAGAAATCCCCAACCCTGCAGCGTGGGAAAAGGCCCTCATCCCAATCCTTGATAGATGTGCCGATGACGTTGATCCGGATGTCCGTAACGGAGATGACATGGACATTCGCCACTGGATCAAGCTGAAAAAGATACCTGGCGGCAAACCTGGCGATACTGCTTACGTCCATGGAGTCGTCTTTTCCAAGAACTTGGCCCTCAAGACCATGCCCCGCAAGATCGAGAATCCCAAAATCGTCATCATCACTTTTCCCATCGAGTATCAGCGGCACCAGGAGCAGCATTTTATGAGCTTGCAGCCGGTCATAGAGCAGGAAAAGGAGTATTTGAGGATGGTGGTGAACCGAATCCTGAACCTCGAGCCTCGGGTGTTGCTCGTCGAAAAGAACGTTTCTGGCGTGGCTTTACAATATCTCTCGGAAGCCGAAGTTGCGGTCGTGTATAACGTCAAGCCGTCAGTCATCGAGGCTGTCTCCAGAATTGCCAATATTCCCATCATCTCATCCATGGATATGCTAAGCTTGGGTGCGCACGTCGGAACCTGCCAAAGCTTTGAAGTCAAGACCTTCGTCAACAAGGAGCTCAAAGGCAGGAAGAAGACGTACATTTTCATCTCTGGCTGCCCAAAAGAGCGCGGCTGTACTATTGCTCTTCGCGGCGGGTCGACAGAGATTCTGTCCCGCATGAAGAGAATCACCGAGTTCATGGTTTATGTGGTTTACAACCTAAAGCTCGAATCCTGTCTTATGCGCGATGAATTTGTTTTTGTGCCTGAAGAGCTCGAGTCCCCTCCACGATCAACTACGAAGCTCCTGAGTAACGGCAGTCAAGACCCGTCGTCAGCTACTCCAAGCGCGCAGACTGGGAAAAATTCCCCTCACAGCGTGATCCACCACATCTCTGAACATGATCAGTCTTTAGAACCATCTCAAGCGACTGCTAGACCTGTCGGGAGCATAAATTCGGCTGAGGAACATTCAGCCGCCGCCCTCGACACCAGCTCGTCGATCAAGGAAGAGACTGAGGAGGAATTGCTTCGCGCTGAGTCAGAAACCCATGAAGGTCAAGGTGCGGAAAACTTGCCTATGCCGACATATTATGGTGACATGGTAGCCAAATATGAGACCAGAATTCTCTCTGCGTCACCCTTCGTCAAGTTCACTCAACCTTACCTGCTCATGAAAGCCCGAGAGCAGGAGAGGCGTCTGGTGTATCTCAAACGCCTTCGTGACCAGGACATCGTCGAAGAACTCGGAGAAAGCGAGAAGAGTGAGCCTCAGCCTAGGCAATTTCAGCTTATCAAGCCTGAAATGGTGCATGAACTTGGCCAAAAGGCACCGCGCCACATCATGGAGGTGCTCCATGCTGTCCATGATGCGGAATACGACAAGGCCTTGTACAACTATCAAACCCAAACCAGACAATGGGAGAATTATATTCAGGGAAGCCTCGACCTGTTCGATCCATACTCCCATCAGAGCATCGTTATTCTGTACTCAGTCACATGCAACGTGACCCAAGTTCCATGCACGGAGCCCAGCGTGGTCGCCTTTGAGTTCTACAAGGAGAATCCAGACCCACTTAGTGGAATGTACCAAGATTGCACCCTGGGGCAGTACATAGAGGACGTTTGCGAAAGCGCCGACTCAATCTGCCACTCCAATGGATGCGACCGAAAGATGTTTGAGCATTACCAGACATATGTTCACGAAAACGCGCGAATTACTGTCATGGTGGAGGACAAGCCAAAATGGCCAGAGAACTTCCCCGAGAAACCGCACGAAAGGGATGGTTGGCAAGATGGCACCGGCATCTGCATGTGGAATTACTGCAAGTTATGCAACAAACATTTCGGACTGATGCCCATGTCAGTAAGCACCTGGAAGTATTCTTTCGCAAAGTATCTGGAACTGTCTTTCTGGAGCCGTGGTCTACGCCTTCATCCTGAGACAGGATGTCCTCACGATCATAAAAAAGACCATGTTCGGTTCTTTTACTACCTATACCGCGACATTGCCGTCAGGATACACTACGACCCGATCGACTTGTACGAAATCATTGTACCTAGATCTCGTATCACCTGGAAGGTTGACCATGATCTGGAGTTGAAAAATCAAGTCTTTCTCAAGGCCGAAGAGCGCTGGAACCGCTTCATCAACTCCGTAAAAGCCAGGCTGAAGAGCATCAGAATCGATAGCGTCTTGCCGGAGAAAACGGAGCATTGCAAGGCTGAGGTGGAAAGAATGACAAAGAAGGCACAAGAGGATCAGGCCGAGCTGATTCAGGACCTCCAGGATGCCTACATGGGCTCAAAGTACTACGAGGTTCTTCCCATGAACGGAGTCATACGTCAGATGGCTGAGAGAGCTACTGAATGGGACGTCGCATTCACTAAATTTGAGGCCGACTTCCTTTCGGACAAAGATGTTCGTCAGTTGACTATCATCCAGCTGAAGAAGATGTTTGACCCAAAATCTGGATCCTCAGGTGCTGAACTTGGGGAGAAGCCTGAGATAACTCACTCCCATGTCAACGCCAGCGAAATTGAGGTGAAAGAAAAGCCATCGCAGCCAACGGAAGATGAAGGCCCCAGTCCCAAGACGCATTCTCCAGTGTCTTCAGCGACCAAACCTATTCCTGTGGTGAGGGAGGAAGCAGTAGAAGAGGCCGGCTCCATCCTGGATGGAGTTGAGCATCTTGACCTTGCAACTGCATCCTCGCCCACGCTCCTTAGGAAGGGGGATCCCGTCCTCGAAGCAGCAAAGGTCACCGTCAATGAGCCAACGCCGATTGTTGCGCCCGCAGCCCCCACACAACAACCAACATCTCTCTCAAAAGTTAACGAAGCGCCTCATGAGTCGTCTCTGGCAGAGATGATGGAACCCAAGCGCCGAGAACAACATGTAGCCATGCCTGAGGCTACTACCCATGCTGCGGGCGGCGAGGGTTCGATGGAAGGTTACAGGCCCATTGTACCGGAGCGCACGTCATCTCGTAAGGCGGGTTTGGCGTTATCGCCTCCCTTAACACGGGCCATTTCGCAGCCGGTGGGAGTTATTCCGAAGCTCCAGTCCGCTATCCCGAAGGCTAAGGAGCATAAGATGCCAGAGCCGGGTGATCTCGCACGGGCAACAGGGGACGGCTCATCTGCCAAGGGAGATAAGAAGTTCCTTGGGATGAAGATCCGCCCTTCTGCCATCCCACGCTATCGACATAGGAATTCGAAGGTGTTCACTCTTGCACGTCACTTTGAGGAGTTGAGTCGAGAGTTTGAGAAGGAGCGGATCAAGGACAAGAGAGAGCGGCAAGCCAAGATGTCTTTTCCTCGTGCATATCTGCCACGTTCAACAACCAAGGCTATCGTGGAGATTTACGAGGATGTCGACCAGGCCGTTCAAGAACCCGGTACCGCGGAAGAGGGCCATCCTGGTGACAAGGACTCGAAAGACAGAAGACCAATAGAGGGCTCCTTTCCATCGGATCAAATCCAAGGGGATTCTGCCAGATTGTCTGCAGACCATGGCCGCACTTCGTCGATCGAGATCCCATCTCAAGAGCATACCCATCAAGATGGGAACCATGAAGCGGAGGGAGACGAAGAACAACACGAGAGTGAAGCTGACTCCGATGGTGAAGGTGCAGATAGTGATGCCGACCGGTCATCATATACGTATGACGATATCCCGACCGATGTGAGGGACCTTGCTGCATCCATCGAGCCAAGTGAGGAAATACCTGAAGAGCTGCCGAAGCATCAAAGGAAGAGTCTCATGACAATGCTCACCAACTTCTGGGCCGAACGCTCCGCCAGTGGATGGCCTACGCTTGACTACCCTTACAATTCAACCGACCACATGTTTACAGACTCAAACGTGATTGTCAGAGAAGACGAGCCAAGTTCGGTTGTGGCCTTTGCGATGAACTCCACGGATTACCATATCCAACTTCGAAACATTCGAAGGAACTCTAGGAGAACCCAGCAGCAGCAACAATCACAAAGGCAGCAGAAAGAGCAACAGCAAGAGCCAGCGTCCCAGGATTTCGAAGAGAGCAGTGACAGCGGCATGCTGGAGATTAAGAGCGGCGGCGCCGGTCCAGACCTCAGCGAAGCCGAACTAGAACAGAGCATGCTCCGCCCCTTTGGCACCCACCTCAAGTTCCAATTCATGGAAGGCTCCGGCAAGTTCACCTGCAAGATCTTCTTCGCCGAGCAATTCGACGCGTTACGACGCAAATGCGGCGTCGGCGACCGCATTGTCGAATCGCTCTCTCGCTGTCTCAAATGGGACTCCAAAGGCGGCAAGACCAAATCGGTCTTCCTCAAGACTCTCGACGACCGACTCGTCATGAAATCGCTTTCTCCCGTCGAGACCTCCGCCTTTCTCGGTTTTGCGCCCGTCTACTTTGAGTTTATGGCCCAAGCCCTGTTTCATGAACTCCCCTCCGTCATCGCCAAGATGTTGGGTTTCTTCCAAGTAATCATCAAAAACCCCATCACCAACACGGAAGTCAAACTTGACCTGCTTCTCATGGAGAATTTGTTCTACGACCGCTCACCAACCCGCACGTTCGACCTCAAGGGGTCCATGCGCAATAGAAAGATCCAATCAACCGGCGAACAAAACGAAGTTTTGTTGGACGAAAACATGGTCGAGTACATCTGGGAATCCCCTCTCTTCGCACGGGAGCACTCCAAACGGCTCCTGCGCGCATCGGTATGGAACGATACGCTTTTCCTCGCTCGCCAAAACGTGATGGATTACTCGTTGATGATCGCCGTCGAGGAGAACAAGAAGGAGCTGGTGGTGGGCATGATTGATTGCATTCGCACCTGGACGTGGGACAAACGCCTCGAAAGCTGGATCAAAGATAGGGGGTTTGCGGGGGGAGGGAGGAATCGGCCGACGGTGACGAGTCCGAAGGAGTATAAGAGTCGGTTTCGAGAGGCTATGGCTAGGTATGTGCTTTTTGGTCCTGCAAGGTTCTCGTGCTTGGTTGTGAGGAGGGATGGGAGGTTGGTCTTGTTGAGGGGGTTGGTTTAATAATGTTCGCACGGAGAAGCTGAATATCTGTGGTCGGTGGTGATGGACGTTTAAATTGGCTGACACATCCTTGGATACTCTCCGTTTCTTGTGATTATAGGTATATCCTCCAAGCACCTAATTGCTGGCATCACTTTGGAAGTGGCCTAGGCTCGACCGGTAATCCTTCTTTGCAGGCGGTTGGACATGCTCCTAGGGCGAGGTTCGCGGGTGATGTTACCCCGTCGTCAGGCAGGGGGTCGGTAAGAGGGTCGGTGAGGGGGATGGAATAAAAGGTGGTCGAGGGTAGATGGAAGGACAGCGAGCAGAATGTGCGAGGGTATGGCTGGCAAGGAGAAGAGCGTAATGACATTATGACACAGTATATGGGTGGGGACGATGAGAAGCACGAGAGTCTGTTATTACGCCGCAGTTTTGTTTGTCTGTTGCGTTGTCATGATCAGTATTGTTGAGCACGGCGTTTGTTGTTTTCACCCATCAGACAGAGAATGAAAAGGGGAGATTCGTTTTTGGTCCGTTGCCCAGTCGTCTGTTGAAAGATGGTGATGCATTCTGTCATCTACTGGTAGAAGTACGTGTTTCCTCTCTGCCCTCGACGCCACTTCTGATCCCAAAAGGATCTACAAGATAACGGCGCTGTCCATTCGTCTGTGAGTTAGGTCAGATAACCCCAACCAAACCCCCCTCTCCCCGTTTTGATCGTCTTTCATTTTGCTGACTTTCCACGATATTTTGCTTTAACTTCCCCATGAATACCTGCCGGAGCAAGACTGCCACGCTTAGCAAAACGACGCAGATAAACCAAGTGGAAAAAAGGGTCAACAGTAAAGCAAAACCTTGGGGAAGATGTTCTTTTTCTTGTAACCCATTATCAAGTTTTATTACGGACTTTTCCTTATCACTTGGGTGCATTTGGCGTGGTGATTTCGGTGTCTTGTGTGTTCTTTGACCTTGACCGTATCCGTTACTCTATTCCTTCGACCAAATTGAACAAATTTAGCAATGGTCTCAATATTTGATGCTTGCCTAATTGCTACTGTTTTTTTTTTTTTTTTTTTTTTTTTTTTTTTTTCTTCGCGGAATGTGTACTGATGCCGAAACGGCGAGGAGACCAGTGTAAGTACAATTTAGCCCTGATTTGTTTTCTTAGTCTGGTCCAAAGGGTTAAGGCTTCACTGGATATAGAAAAGAGTTTGGCTTTTTATCGCGTCTTCAAGGCCTTGGAGATAGAAAGAGACTTAGGGGATATCTATTAGAGGCTTCTATGATGATGCAATCCCTTGCCATTGTCCCGTATCGCTTCAAATGAAGGACAGTTTCTCTCTGGAAAGGTTAATAAGAGCCCCAAAACTACCCCATTGAACACGTAATTGATATAACAAACTAACAAGCAAACCGGCATTGTAATGTACGGTACTACGAGCACAGAAGATGGTGTCAATCCAGATTTGTAGACGTTCGAACCTTTGCTTTGCTTTGCTTTATCTGCATCACTGCAGGCTAACCAGCACAACCGCTCGCAATGATCCATCAGTCACTCACCGGCCTCGCCACCATCAAACTAATGAGCGACAGCCCAACCTGCGCAGCCGCCAAAACCGTCGTCTCCCCCGTATTATCATAAACCGGACTCACCTCAACCACATCGGCCCCGACGACAGATAAGCCTCTCAGCCCGTCAATGATAGTCAGCAGTTCCCTCGTCGACCAGCCACCTGGCTCAGCGGTGCCCGTGCCCGGAGCAAACGCCGGATCCAGAACGTCAATATCGACGCTGATGTACACCCTCGAGTTACCCACTCGGGCCTTGATGGTGGAGATGATCCAATCGCTACCGTGCTTGTCAATGTCCCGGGCTGTGATGACGGCGAAGCCGCAGCGCTTGTCGTTATCGCGGTCACTGTGCATAATAATAGGGCCGCGAGTGCCGGCGTGGATGGAGGTGTTGCGGATTAATCCCTGGAGGACTCTGTGTCAGTAATTGGGTGGATGTTATGAGCGGTCGATGAGGGGACCTTACTTCTTCGTGGGCGATGTGGAGGAAGGTTCCGTGGTTGAGACCTCTGTGCCCACAGGGAGTGTTACTTAGTGAGTTGTCTTTGAGCCTCGATGAGTGCCTCTGTTTGGGTCTGGAAGATTGACTTACGCATAGTCAGAGATGCCTCCGAGAACGTCGGGACTCCATGTGTCTGTCGTGAGGTTAGTGGTCACATGCTAGGCTGCCGCATCGACACACTCACCGATGTGACTATCGAAATGTATCACCGACACCTGACCCCATCGTTGAAACGTTGATCGCAGTGCCGAAAGAGTGGTGCTGTGATCACCACCCAACGTCAATATTCTCGGCACCGTTGCAACCGTGTCGTTGGCGGTGGGCCGTCCGGATATGACTCGATGCGCCTTGTCGAGATGCTTGAAGGCAACGGTATTGTCGAGCCAGGTCAAGGTTGCGTCGCCGCAGTCCACGATGGTAGCCCATTCATGCAATGCATCTTCGTCTGCAAGTAACCAACCATTACATCGAGTTAGTTGGAATCTGGGAGCGGTGACCTTAACAATTTTCGAGTGGTATTCTCAGTGGGGTTTTGTTTGGCGATGAGTTATCATCTATATTGGGTACCACTGTGTACTTTGGAGGTACCATAGCTCGAGAATTGGGGAACTCGATGGTCGGTCCTTGAGATGGTGGTGGTGGTACTGCAGTAAGTGCCGCAGAGAGGTTGAAAGCCGAAACGTACTTACCCGTGTAGTAATCGAATCCTCCAAGGCGTTGACTTCCGATTCTAATTCCTGTCGGCCCATAGCGGGCTCCTGGTCGTCCGGTGACAGCCTGCAAGAAAGTGTGTTTCTGGTAAGACAACTGGGCTAATCTTGCCAAAGAGGAAAGAAACAAGACGAACCGTATCAAAGGGAGCGCCAAGAACAGCAATGTCGTATTTCTTGGAGGCCGCTTCTTCGTCCGAAAAACAATTCACATAGGGAAGGCTGGCGAACGTCTTGAGTCCGTGAAACTGACTTCCCGTCACGATATCGATGTCGTCTTCAGTTGGGTCATCAAGCGAAGTTAGATGTCCTCTGTTGTTGCTGGAGACCCAGAAGGACGAAGAGGAGGAGGAGAAGGAATGAGGGATACCGTGCGCCACTACCCCGCCGATGCCGAGGGAAAAGAACACAAATGATCTCATGCTGATTACGGAAAAAATACCTTCACTCATCATTTGGGAATCCAAAAGAAGTGGAAGGAAAATGGTCATCCTGAAGCTTATGATAGTATCTGCTTCCTAGAAGGAGGATGTGGAGGTCCGAGTCCTTATACCGGTCCATGGAGGCTTGCGTCATGTCGCTCCGCCTCATCAATACCCTCTGTCGACTGGGAGCAGTTGCACAGCCTACTCTTGCCCTCAAATCACACAGAGCATATTCCGTGTTTTCCAGTTATCTTTTGTCAGAATCACCTGCCATGTAAGATGATATGGAAAGTTGCGGAAGGTCCAGTGATCCCGTTACGCGATGCGATCGAGATGGAGACAACCTCGGTCCTTCCCGAAGGAGGAAAGTCTTGCAGTGGTCAGTCAAGTCATCGCCCCATTACAAAGAGACTCTCTCTCCATCACATCACCAGCACCTTGTCTTCGTGACCTAACATCTTTAACTTCGATATCCAACCTATCACCACCAGTATCCGTTTGCGCAGGACCTCGCTAGCATCTTTCAACAGCTTCGCCTCACCTTGAAATAAATTTCCAGCGTACTCAACCCATCCAGCCTCCTCCGTCTTGCGCAATGGATCCTTGGGCTGCAGGCGACGGAGTGAGCGAGAGCGGTACTCGCCGCCACGTACCCATCAGCAGCATCAGAGAACCATCTGAGCATTTATCTCCCAGGACCAGTCACCGGATCGATACTCAACAGCCGGAAGAACGCCGAGATATGACCTTTGCCTCCCATCCAGACAAAGACGAAGTGCACGAGGCTTTCACTGATATTGACCTTGGGCCAGAGCTGGAGAAGCAGGGAGTTCCGCATCGCCCCAGCCAGAGGGCTCGTGCCAGAAAACATTTCACCTACGCAGCTTAGTGGCAGCAAGAGTTCTGGTACGCCATCATATGCGTTTTCACGGCAGTTGGGCTGGTGATTCTTCTCAGATACTACGACAACCAGCTTGTGCCTGAATTGGGTGTCGGAGTACAATTTGACTCGGTCCTCATTGTCATGGTCACAATCTTCCGACTCTCACTAATGGGCTTCGTTGGCTCTTGCCTAAGCCAAGGTGCGTGGCTTTGGGTATCGGAAATCTCGCAACAACGTTACAGCCACGATGCGCTGCTATCGGACTTCAGCGTCTTTGATGGATCGTCTCGAGGAATACGAGGCAGCTTGCGCTTACTCTGGCGGATGAAGCTCAAACATCTTGGGTGTATCGGTGCACTTATCATCATCCTATCACACTGGTTTGAAACCTTCAGCCAGCAAATGGTTCTCTTTGAGCAGCGTCCCCGAATTCTCAACCGTGGGTACGGTCCGGCACCGCCTCCTCCACGATCCGAAGTCTAGGACGCTTATATGAGGCGAGGAGGCTACCTTGGAGACTTGGTACCGTCGCTCTCTACAAAGGCAGCCATTTACAGCGGCATCATCTCGACCGAGATGTCGAGGCTCCCTGTGTACTGCGAAACCGGAAACTGTTCTTGGCCAGTGTTTCCGACTTTGGCGGCTTGTGGAGAGTGTGTCACAGTCAACAACGTCTCATCGACTTGCAATGAAACTTCACGCATGTGCACATACAGCGTTGACTCCGGTAACACACTGGATGTTCCCATGGATCCAGCGGCCGAGTTCAACATCTTCAAAGTAGCTCCCTCCAACGGAACATCTCATCCCATCACGTCGACAAATCGGGCCTACTTTTCGGTTTTTGACATGCTCTCCCTCGTCCAATCTGAAGATCAGGGATTGTCGGTCACGGGTACCGAATGTGCTCTATGGTTCTGCGTCCAGAGTTTCAAGCTCCTGGTCTATGATGGGACGCACAATGAGACCATTGTGGGAAACTGGTCCACCACGGAACGTGCACATGTCGTTGGTGGTAACCTCCATGGCGCTGGGTATTCCTTCATCGGCCTGCCTGACTATCTAAATGCTGACAACACGACGACCTACTCGGTATCCAATGAGGCCATAACTGCTTTGCGATCGTTCATGGCTGACATAACGTCTGGAGTGGTCCGCGCCGACACAAACATGCTGGATTACTCGTCGGACTGGGTTGAAGCCATGTGGAACGCAACCAATAACCTGGAGGCCTGGATGGAGAGCTTCACGCGAGCCATGACGGCCGAATTTCGTATCAATGGGAGACTCTCCAACGGACTGGGCGGCACCAAGGTATATGCTGGATCTGCCACGCAGCTTGCGCCTTTTATCAGAGTTCAGTGGTGGTGGATGTTTTACCCCGGCTGCATGCTACTGATCAGTTTCTACTACTTTGTCCGTACCGTTGTCATCAGTGCTCGTCATGGAGTGTCTGCTTGGAAAGGAGATGCGTTGCCCATGTTGTTCGTCCGAGTCGACGACAACATTCATGCCCACGTCGGGGATGGCATGGACGTGCCAGGCGGCTTGATGGACAGAGTTGGGCATATCCGGATTGCCATGTACAGGGATGAAGATGGACAATGGAGATTCAGGTCAACCAGAGATGACCCTAAAGAAGCCTAAGCAAAACGCGATGCTAGCCATTGAGGCTTTCCATCGTCAAAGTGTCCCAGCCACCACCAGCATCTTTGCCTACACGCCTACTCGTAGAAGATTGGCGGGAAAACCTACAGATCCTGGCTACAGCTGCCCTACTGAGAAGCTCCCCAGAAGAGTTGACGCCGCTGTGTAAGCTCCTCTTCTAGCATACCAGGGTAAATGACAAATAATTTGAGACAGCCGGGAGAAGCTCACAAGAGGGTGATGTGAGTAAGGTGTTGGGCCTAGAATCCAAGTCCATACCTCGGCTCATTGCAAGGATGAACAGCAACCAAGTTTTTTTTTCGATGCGGTTCTACAGGTGCCGGACAGCTGTACTGCCATGCGTAACGGCATGTCGCACCTGGAGATTAAGGACCGATTTCCGTGATATGCCACTACAGTGTATGCTACTAGAGAGTCCTAAGGTAGTAATGGAAGCACCTCCTCCTTCCCTATCGAGGAAGGAGCTCGTCCGATTCGGTTATCACAGCCGTCATTGCGACTTCCTCCAGCAGAGCAGCCGACGATTTCCACTGGCCGTCTCCAGCCGGGACAGACAAATCCGATCCGCGAAAGTCAAGGGCTGAGGGACGCGCACCCGGAACTGGGATGATGGCGGTCAAGGCCAATCAAACATGATGAAGTGATAGGGTAAAAAAAGCAAAAATGAGAAGCTAATCTCGTCGGAAATAGGAGCACCTCCATACCTACCCAAGCTACCTCGAGGCCTAGGGAGGGGAGTCCATTCTGCCAACAAGGCGAACGAGGTTGGCCTTCCGCGGACCCACCCTGTGCTCTCCCTGGCGGTGTTAGCGCTCACCTAACCACCACCCGGCCCTGCAAGATACCGAGTCAACGGGCCAGGCAGTTGCGGTTCCCTCACCCGTCTTGTCCCCGCCAAGTCGCTAGTAGCGGGCAGTCAGGCAGTATGGGGATTGCTGGGATGAGGTGGAAGGAACATCCTTCAGGCCATCTCGGGCACCTTCCCTAGGGCAGTAGGGCTCGCGCCGGGGAACCGCAAGGTGACTTTCCACTGGCAATTCGGCCTTGAGGGTTGGACGGGGGAACCCTTCGCCGTCGATCGCTTCCCACGCACCGTCCGTCCATGGCACGAGGCCAGGGGAGAACCCAAAGGCGGTTAGAGGTAGCAGAGATGAGCCTAGGCACGGGCAAGAAGAGATCCGACTCTGGGATACCTGAAAAGGTCGAACGTTGAAGGCCAGCAGTCAGTCTCGAGCATTGTTCTCCTTCATTTCCATCTGTCCGAAACGCGACGCAACTCAACATTTGCAGACAAGCATCCTCAACTGTGTTGATGCCCACGGGCGCATTCGTGTATAGTCATGTCCCCTGTTAATGCAAGCCCCCTCTTTTGCAACCACATGGGTAAACTCCAACCTGATCCATTAGACGCAAACATTTCTGCGGCCCGAATTCCCAGTTCAGTATGTAAGTGAGGCACCCCTTAATGCGAAAGAAGAAAAAAACCCCTCCTGCTGCTTCGAATTGTTGCCGTCTTCCATACATAGTGCCGGAATGAGTTGGTAATCAGTCAGTATGTACATGTCCCATCGGGCTCTCATGTTGATGATTCGGGGATCCACTGCCGGACCGATGTCACCGCTGCCGGGTCGGGTCCGTTCTCATGATGGAGTGAGGTTCGCAACGGCACCAACCAGGAAGGAGAAGAAGTGCCGTTCCCCACAGCCTGTCCTCCACTCGACAACAATCATTCTTCATCTTCATGATCCCAAGACACATTGAAACCCGAGCTAACTGACTGGACCCAAAATGGCAGCACATGGGCAAACTTTGCGCGTCGTCGTCCTACAACACTTACTTGTCTACACCGCCGTGGACGGGCGTTTTGTATTGTGGTAGCGGGGTTTTCCAATATGCCTGATTACTCCCTGTAATTCTAGTAGTTTGCTCTGACCATGACTCAGTTACATATGTATCCGTACTAAACCCGCAAAGCCACCAGACTTTGAATCAGCAAAGCGTTATCGAGAAAAGAAAAGAAGAAGAAAAAAATGAAATAAACGATTGAACCATTCTCGATTATGGGCAGAGCTGGGCAGTTCCTCGGGAAGCAAGCCAATCGCAACACCTGGCGTCATTTTCGAGAAAGAGCACCGTGTGTGTACCGAGATACCCTCCTCCCTATTAGGGAACCACTAGCACTACACTAGTAAAAGAGTATAAGCTCGGCTAACTAAATGCGATCCCGATGAGTGGTGGAAGAACGCAAATTGCCTTAATAGCATGGCTATTACGCTTGGCAGTCAGGATATGAGGGTTTTCGTCCTCTAGTGTAGTGTACATAGTACACTAAACTCCTCTCTGAGAAGCTCTGGAGATCACAAGACGGTCTTCGGTTGACGGACGGCAGCGGAAGGCCCACGGCGGGATCGATCTTTTACTAGAGGCATCCCCACATTGCGTAAATAGGCACGGGGATTTGTCAAACGAAGCTCGGCGTCAAGGACAAGGTACGATGAAGTTCTGCACCCCCCCTTCCTCCTCCCTATGTATTCAAGCATGGCTTCAAGGTGGTGTTTTGAAAGCCGAAGAAGCGATGTACCTGTGGTATGTAGGAAATGTACCTGTCTCTCTCTAGAAGACTCTCGTCACCGCGCTTGTTTCTGCAAGTTGGCCAGGTAGGCCGGCCCATGTTGCACTGAACGAATACACGCAGTGGCTGAAAAATTGGAATTTCAACTCTCAACAACCAGCCTTGGCACTTTCCCATTACAGAAGCGCCCTTCTGATTGGCCGGAGCGGTTGAATGGCGTGAGGGTTGGCACATGCCAGGTAGCATTTTGTCTTTTTGGACCCCAGAGCAACAACAACACCCCTGAGCCCCCACACATACCCTGCACAGCCCAACTGAAGCCAACGAGGACGAGCACCGTTTGAAATCATTTCGGGACACACTGTGTTCCGCTGGTCTCACTTTGAGCGTCCAGTCCTCTTTGCGAATGGCAACTCTCCGGCAGAGACGAGACAACTTAACGCTGAAGAAGACTTCACCACCACCACCACCATCACCACCGAGCACCGACCACAGCTTACGGAATCCAGAACGAGTTGCAGCTCGCTTGACTATCCACCGGCTTTAATCATCATTGGCCAAGTTTCAATATAAAGTTGCACACCTCGCTAGGTACACGGGACGGCCGTCCCTCACCCGTCATTTTCGGTCCCGCTGGTACCGATAGCGATGACATCGACCGAAAGATGTGACTGATCATAACCATTTCCATGATCTTCAAGTTCCCTGCAAGCATTCAGTACCTGAAGTGGTCATCCGTCTTGGATAATTGCTGAGACGGCCTAGAGGGCTGTCGCGGCGCAGCGGCTTGAGCGTTACAGGTTGAGGGGCCGTCTGTCTCTCAGTCCCTGCAGTGCATCATACAATACAGGGGGGCTTGTTTGAGCAATCAATTGCCGATGAACTGAGCCAGGCTCGCCAGGCCCAAAACTGTCCCCCGAGTGTCGATGGTAGTAACGGCATCGTGGCACAGGAGCCTGACTGATGGATGGTGCAACCAATACGTTATACAAAAGCAAAAAAAGGGGCAGTATGCGGTGCCACGTCAAGTTCGAGGGTTGCTCGGGACGGTAGCAGCCGAAAGTCATCTTCATGACGGGCGCGGATGAGTGAGACGAGGTAATGGTCCAATCACAACGACAACAACACTTTGTCCAAAGGAAGAGACACTCAACACCCTGCCACAGCTTATTACGACTGCCACTCACATGACAGGAGACGATACCGAGGGTTTGGGACTGGCGAGTTTTTGAAATCAATAGCGTGGTCGGCCTGGCAGTTCCGGTACCTGGACTTGCAGCATGCAGTCTGCAGCAGTCATGACCGCCCTTCGGCAGCATTCTTCTCAGCCTGTCAAATTTCAGTGAGCTGCATCCGGGAAAGAAAAGGAGTTGTTGTTGCGAGATTGGCTGTTCGTTCCGTCTAGGGTACCCGAAAAGATATCTTTCTGCAGCTGAGTCCTGAAGAGGCTCCGCTCTCCGACAGCCAGCCAGCAGCGCCCAGGAGAGGGGGGTGGTGAACTTGAGTGGTGGTGGTGGTGCCGGCCATTCACATCATGCATTGTCAGTGATCGATGCGGGCGTGCAGTGATCGATGCCACTGGAGGTGCGTGGCGGCGGCGGAGAGACAGAGACGGAGGAGAGAGAGAGAGAGGGCCAGAGGAAGAATAACAAAAGGCTGCGAGTTGCTGCGCTACGCCGTGCTAATAAGAAAAAAAGAAAGGACGGGAAATAGATTGTGGACGAGGCAATGAAGGGAAGGCAAAATGGTCAATGACAGAAAACACAAAAGCACGAAATACAAAAAAAAAAGAAAAAAAAAAAACAAAAAAAAAGGGAAAAAAAGGCATTAGGGTTAGGGTTCCCACGACCCGACAGTTTGGAACCGAGAAATTCTGTCCGTAGGAAGGCCAATGGAAAGGCTCGCTTGGTCCCGAGAGTTCGGGAACATTGTCTGCACTATCCACTGGCGCCAAGCGGTGCGCGCCCGTTGGCCGACGGCGATTGAGGGCTCCACTAGAGGGCTGGCCGCTACTCCACCATTCGTTATGTCTGGCAGGAGGAACTTGAAGCTAAGTACGTACTGTGTAGGTGGCCGACGCCCCGCTTTCCTGTACCCCCCCCCCCCCCCCCCCCATTGGGTTCTAGTGTAGTGTACTTGCCTTTCGGATTTCCTTGGACGAGTGCCTTCCTTCAGTTCCAAAAACAAGCCTGCCGACGAGTCCCGCAAACGAGTCAGTCAGGTCGACAGTGGTTTCCGGTTTGGTTCCTAATGATGAATGGTTGAAATCAATTCGTTGTCGATACTCCTCAAGCAATGCAACGATGCAACAGCTGCACTCCTGCCTGCGCAGAAACATGAGACACACAAAAAAAGAAAAAAAAGGGCCGCCCCGAAGGAAGGATTCACCACTCAGGATGGATGCGGCATGCGTCCACGAGATCGGCTCGGGCATGTTGTGCCGCTCTGGATCCATCTTTGGTCCCAAAGTCGGGTACCTACCTACTACCTACGTCTCGCCCTCAATAGTGTGTTGCAATATGTACCTTACAAGTTTTTTGGTGGGTTTCCTCTCTATTTTGCCCCCGTCAATTGCGACGTCAACTGGGCATGACGAATCGGAAATCTCCACCCCCCCTTCCCACTCTCTTCTGTTTTTTTTTCCTGTCTCAACACCCCTCACCTCTGGCGCCATTCGCAACGGGGGCTGCCTTCCAGCATCCAGCTTGCAGCGAGGTTCGATATCAGAGGAAAGTTGGAACTCGACCTTCCCGATTCTGGATCGGCGTACATGAGGACACCCATAGATGTGGTCATTGGGGGTTGCAAACTAGGCGCAGTATGCCGCAGCAGGTAAAAAAAACGGTACAGTAGTCTGCTTGCGGCCAGACTATACTTATACCCAGAAAGTAACCAGACTGCGACACACGAGGTGCAATGAGGTGAGCACCTGTAGCGGGGACACAGCGGCACTACTGATGAAAGAAGCAGACCCATTTGTTGGGGCAAGTACTGGTAGTAGGTCAAAAGGGGAGAAGCGACACCCGGCACGTCGGATTCAGCGCTTGGATAACGGCCCTGAAAGATAGGTAACCACGGCCTGCCCAACGCAGGTTGGCGCGGTTAGAGCACAAGATTGTGCGCAGCAATGAGAAGAACCTCCCAGAGATGATGGTGGTATTCCTCATGTGACATAACGTCTCCACGGTCCTGAGGGCACAACGGGAATGACGGAGATGACGAACTGATGGGGGGAAGGGCCCATACGGGGTAGGACGGGATCTGCTACGTACCCCTCGGCAGCAAAATCGAGCTTCAATGTAACCCGGGGAACGGAAGCATATCATCCAGACGAGCAATGCCAGACCTGTCAATGGCACTCAATATGGGACCGACCTCGATGCTGCCTCGCAACGGAACCAAGGGGTGAGAGATAGGTAGGTAGGTACTCTCGAGCAAAATGGGGATAATCCCATCAAACCCACAACATGGAAATTACGGGGTCTGCCGCGCTCCCCCTCCAATTCCTCCGTCGCCTTTGGTTAACGTTTTACAGACCCTGATCCACATACATACCAAGTAGAGGTAGGTACTCTCGGAGGTGCGCTTCAGGAAAGGCGGGCATAAAGCAAAGTCGGCCGGGTGCGTACCTGCGCAGCCCAGCCTCACCTATTCCTAGCTTGTGTTGCGCTTAGCATCTCTGGGTCTGGTCGGCTGTACCTGGGAGGCTGTTCAGCCCCGTAGCGCGGCCCTGCCCTGGTGAGGAGACGAACGGCAACGGGGAAGAAAAGGAAACACGGGCACACAGGTGGGGAATGGATTCTCTGGGCAGACCGACCAGTCCGGGGCAAGCCGGGACGTGGATAAAAACATAAGCATTCCATCCGCAGTTTGGCGTGTGGAGTGGAGGGCCCAGATGTAGGCCTGCAGGAGTCTGGTACCTACACAGCAACAAGCCTCGCAGGGCACACTTCTTAATGTTGGTGCAGTGCCCTGGGACGGACAGGGGCTGGAGTCGGTACAGGGTCGACCCTGCTCCAGGGCAGCTCACCCATCCCTCGACCTACCTAGTCATTCGTCTTCCTTTTCCCCCCTCTCATCATGGCCACGATTGGGAGGAAATGATCCCACATTGTTTTTCTTTTTTAACAGCCTACCTACGTATTCTACACCCCGCTTCCCTATCTCTCTCCACATCTTGCCCAGTATTCTTCAAAGAACAATACGCTACTCATCCCTCGCTTGACTATCTCGAATAGGCTTCCTGGGCATGGGCAGTAGGTAAGCTGGTCAAGTTGTTTGCCATGTGCGCAAGGGCAGGCAGCATAGCGTCAGGTGTGTGGGTGAAAGAGAACACACAAAAATGGGACCCCCCTCCACCGTCCCCCGTCCCCCGTCCCCAATATGCATGTATCTGGGACGGAATGGGGATGTCCAAGTATCCATATTTCACCCTACGTACCTCTATGTTCCATACAGCATCAGACGCCATCGACCCATTCACCCTCATCCACAACGAACACATCCTGGCCTAGGACCGCAGACCCTGATGCCACTATTCGAGTCTGGCCCTGTCTTCTTCTTCTCTAGGTAGCAACAGGCTACAAGGAAGCCTTTTAGTTTTCCCGACATCTCCAATGCCAGTATCGTGTTCGGTACCCGTTTGAGGATCGCCGTCTTCTCTCACTGAGAGATAGTACTTGAATACTCCATTGCTCGCTCTTTTTCTTCCATGGTGATTTTCAAGGCTTCATAATTAACCATCTCTCGACTCCCCCTCCGGAACAGCCTGCATTGATCACCCTGCCGGCCTCGACGCAAACGACGGCAACACCAAGGACAATACCACCTAGACCCATCGCTTCACATCGTCTGCATCCCTCAGTGGCACCCTGGTCGAACGTTTGGGGCGGGGCTTTGCTGTTCTAGAGAACCCGACTGTGTGGTTCAGGCGTCTAGTTTAGGCACTGCTTGATAGGCCTTTCTGCGAATCACGGCCCGGAGCTGCTTCTACCACCAGCACGTTTGCTTTTGCTCTCCAGTATTAAACCTACAATCAAGTACCTCCCAGGTCCCGAGACCAAACCGTTATCCTCAGTTCTGCAGCACTTTCCCCGTCTGGCTACCTCTACCTATTCTTCATCTTTTCCCTCCCCCCAGCTACATCACACAAACTCATCATGCTCTACTTAAACAAACGCTCTCCTTCCGAGGAGCTGGCCTCTGTGCACAACCCAATTTCTCCCACTGCTACCTCTACTTGGCACCATTCTCTAGACGACCAGAAGATGACCGAGGTAGTCCCATTCCCTCAACCACAACACCTCTACCCATTCGGTGGCTCATCACATCGTTTGCTCGCCCCTGCCCCTGAGCAAAAGTCTCCTTACTTCTCTCCAGATCTATATCGCGAGATGCCTGTCTACCCCGTGGGCTACCAGACCACCTCTCATCTGCCCAGGTCCCCCCCAGAGGCTCGCTCGGCTTCGGTCTCGAGTATATCCTCTTCGCCCTCCCACGGCACACCTGACATGTCTTCCTCTCGGACCATGTCACCCGTCACGGACTCCAACTCTGACATTATGGCAAGTCCCCCGGTCTTGACCAGGACGTATAACCCGCCGTCGTCCTATCAGCACACACACCACACCTCTCAGGCGCTCCCTTCGTCATTAATCCCCGCCCCATCGCAGTACATGCATATTCAGGTCGCCCCTCCGCCACCAATGTCGCTCTATCCTTCGATGCCGGCCTTGTCACAACGAACAACAACGTACCCACCATCATCCTCATATGATTACCACCAACACATGGGTCACCCTTACCCATCTCAGCAGTCAATGCACAGCTACCAGGTACCGATACACAACTATCAACCTGTGTACAGCTACACCAGCGCCCAGGCCTATCCCAGCCATTCAGCAGGCGCAATATTACCCTCGTTCGCTCCCGCGCCAGGGTCCTCAATGATGTCCCTTCCGCATACGCAACGTCACGACAAGGCTCCTATTGAGCGTTTACTGAAAGACAAACACGATATCGTCATGATGATCCAGTCACACCTGGACTATTTCGATGTCACCAAGGCTCAGATGGCGAGCCGGTGGTTCAGAGATCACTTTGACCCCTCCAAGTGCCCTGAAGAAGACAAGATCCGGTGCGTCATGTTCGCCGAGATCAACTTCAAGCGATTCTGGCCCAACAACACCTCCTCGGGTGGCCGGGGCGGCGACAAGGATGATGGCAAGCATCCCGGCTCCTTTGGGTGCTACCACTGCTTCAAGGTCAAGAGCCCCGAAAACTTTGAGCTGTTCAGGTGGAAGAATGATCTGGAGGATGCGCCTGAGAGCAGCAACAACAACAACAACAATAAGACCAATGCCAACGACCAAAAGAACTCCGCCTCCTCAAGAAAACAACAACAACAACAACAACAACAACAACAACAACAACAACAACAACAACAACAACAACAACAAAATCAAGAAGGCTCCCCCAAACAAAACCCACCTCTGTCCCCTTCCACATCCTCCCACACCTCCACCTCTTCATTCTCTCTAACCTCAAACCCCCATTACGATCCCTCTGTAACACGCTCCTCCCTCGCCGCCGCCGCCGCCTCCACCAAGGGTCAAACCGGCAACACTCGCCGCGGCCCTTCCTCCTCCTCCTCCGGCACTTATTCTTGTTCGGACCAATCCCCCCGCATCCAAGAAACCTGGGGGATCCGGCGTTTCTGCATCGACTGCGGCATCAAAAAGAAATTTTACAGACCGGGGGTCCTGATCGAGCTCCACAAAGAGAAGAATGCGGTGTGGGTGTGCGACTGCTGGGTCACGCACAAGAGGCCGCAGGAGCTGGATTGCAAGGTTTGCAAAAAGATATTGCCGCTGAGCACGCCGAATCGGAGGAGATGTTGATTTGATCTGGGGGGTGGACTTTTGGAGGGTCATCTTGGGGGGGTATTTCATTGCCGGATTAGGATTGATAAGTTAAAGGCTTGGATTTGGGAATACTGCTTCTTGGTTGAAGGCGTTGGGATACGTTGGGAGGGTTCAGCGTTGTCTTTTTTTTGTCCCTTGATCTCTTCTCGTGTTCATGATTTTCTTGGGTTTTGGATACATGGCTTACATCATTTCCTTCCTTCTTCTTGGAAACACATTTTACTTTGTTTACCCACATGTCCTCCTCCTTCCTCTCATCGGGGGAGGGGGGGTAAGATTTATTACTAAAGATACCACATTATTCCCTTCGTCTTCTTCTTCTTCTTCTTCTCCATCAGCTTTACTGCTTCGTCATGTTGACACTATTCCTTCTTTGCCTTGTCCATATTATTTATTTATCGATCGGATGAGGGAGGTTATCTACCGACACAACGCGGTGAAAATCCCACATTTTGGGCGGCAAAATCTGATCAATTTTTTGAACCTTTAACAAACTAGGGGCGTTCCGGCAAATTTGATACCTTACCGTTCAGTCATCATCATCATTAATGGACTCTTTTCTAACTAAAACATTTGGGCACACATGGTCATTTGCAAATACCGAGGGCTTATGGAGGTACGTAAAGTACGCGCCATGGAAGAAACTTGGTTGATATGTCACAAGCGAGCATAGTATGATGAAGTTTGGGTGGGCATCAAAGTTATACTGACTGCGTGACCGACAATGCGGTAATGGGCCGTCGGTAACCCCCCATCCTTCCCTTTGACAATGGATGTAAACCTCAAACGAACATTAATAGCACGAAGATACCTATATTTCTTACTAGTGCAGTCACTACGGGATCTTGTAGAACACTGCTGGCGTCATTTATCCCACCCTTTTCTGGTCTTCCCCGGAAATCATTCATACCTAACACCTCCCTACATGCATTCATTCCGTATCCATGAGGTCCGGCAAATACAAAGAAAGTGTAACGGCGACCACGATGACTGCGCAAGGTTACATAGAAATGTCCCCCCCGATGCAGAGTGGTCGGTTCTCAGTTCTCAGTTCTCGTCGACTCGCTCAGCGTATGCAGAAACGGGAGAGAAAAAGTCATGGGGAAATCGTGGCGTTTGAAGCAAGCAAGGGGGTGGATCGACTGACTGACTGACTGACTGTGTCAAACTTCAGGGAAGCAATTCATCTCGAGTCGCCATCCATGCCTTCTCAAATTTGGCCTATGGCACTGAGCGGCGGTGTGTCCAGATTTTTATGGCTTGCGTGGGCGTTTCTGACAAGCAAGGTTATTGTTTACCTACCTGCCAGCAGAGATAAACATGGGACTATGGGAAAAAGGGCTTGAGTATGTCCCGCAACTTACACTCCCGGGTGGTCTCTCATCCGCTTCTCGCTTTCTTGGCTTCCATTATCATTATTATCATTTCTGCTCATCCTCCTCTGTCCTCGGTTCGTTTGACGTGCGCAGACCCCAGACCACAATGTACACCTAGGTGAGCTTTCATTGTAACCGCGTATCTAGGCCTCTGTTACCCGGACCGTCGTTGCTCTCCCAGAGTTACATTGACAGTTACCAACCTCAACCGTCCCTCCCACCTCCCCGACAAGCCACATACATAATCCCTCCCTCCCCTTTGATAGCGACAAATACCCCCCTTCCCCCCCTCTTCTTTCATTTCGTATCAACAGGGACCGTTCTTCTGCCTTACCTGGCAAACATACCAAGAGGCTCACTTCCCATTGGTCAACCATGGAGTTCTGAACAGCCACGGGTAAGCACCTCATCACAGCCTTTCTATGTTCAATGTTACTCTGATCCAGCGATTTACAGTAGATACCCCTGTTTATGCAAGCTCCCCCTTCTGCAAACACATACAAATTGACCCATTAGTTGCAAATGATTTCAGGGCCCTAATTCCCGATTTTGTATGTAAGTAAGGTACCCCTTAATGCAAAAACCCCCCTTAATGCTAAGAGCTCGAGCCGTTCCCCATAGTGCCGGAATTACTTGCATAAACAGGGGTATCTACTGTACCACGATAGAAGAGAACGGGAGGGTCATCATCCAGAAAGAGGCAGCTTGCAACAGGCGCGTGGTAGTAACCATCGCGCGTCAATCACCAACGAATAGAAGACTTCTCTCTATTGCAACGTTCTTTCGTCACCGAGAGATATTGCTTTTCGCCGTACATATGTGCCTATATCAAGCCTACTCAGCTTTATGTTAATGAGTGACTGGGGGGTAAAGATAGCGTGGCTGTATATCATAGGGACGGATGAGTGCTATGTGATTCCATGTATGATGGGCCCGTGGTACGACTTGGATGATTCCACTTCCTCGGTCTTCATGCTACCAAGCTTGACGGTCTCGGGGCAATGCTTGTTCAGAACAGAGATGGGCCAGACTATGACAAAGGCTGGACTCGAAAGGTCACGAAGACGCGAAGCACTGAATCCAAATTGAGGAGCTCACCGACTCAAGAGCCAACACGCACCGACTGCATTTCGATTGTTGCATTGGCGTCTGGCGTAATAACAAATAAGAGTAGCTACCAAGCTGTCGGGATTTGATATCTGATATTTGGGACGCTTGCACTTGTTTGTCTCAAATTCCCCTCAAGCCGGCTACATCATTTCCGTAAGGAGCCGAGGAACTTTGCCTCTTCCTTGTACCCCGTGTCCACAAGATAATATGCAAATGCAAGGAAATGTTTTTGAGGGAATGCGGAGGAGAGGCAGAGACTGTGACATGGCATGATTTTGCTGTGGCTAAGTGCTTCGGCGGCTAATCGACGAAGCGTTCGTCGCGGCACTTTCCTTCAGCCACCCCGGTGAAGAGGTTTGAGTAATGGGATTTTGTCTGCTTGCACACCCGAGACATTTTTCGTCGTAAATGGACTCCTATGAACCCTAGTTCTAGTAGGTGGGGAAGATGTGAATCCGGGGTATGTCATTGAAGGCGGGGGCAAAGAAGAAAAGAGCAGCTTATCTTGTTCCAGGCACCCACCGAGCCATTGGAAGCTCACTGGAGTATGGGATAGGTTCACTTTGAAGATCCGGTCTCCTTGCCACCCCTGTCATCATCTCGGTTATGGAGAGCATCGGCACGTCGGCACTGAAGACCTGTGTTCGCCTCTTGGTGTACATTCGGTTCCGATGTGAGGAAAGTTGCTCTGTCAAGCCCGTATGGAAACTGCAGCTTGCATGCAGCCATCTGAAAAGGGACGTCAAAACAACCATGGAGTTTGAGGCAACAAAGAGAAGAATAGCAGAAGACGGTGAGAATGAATATCTGGCTTTGATGTCCAATACGCGTCCCTGTAAGGAAAAGCAAGGGAGGTCATGGGGGGGTATGAGAAATTGTGGGTCAATGAAGCCAATGAAAAATGTCCTTCCGAATTCGAACATGCACATTGGACGAATGTCATTCGTGGTCAGACCGAGGGTGGTGGGCGACCTATGTGGCTTCCAAGAAGATTGTCTCTGAGCCACGCTTCCAGCTAAGAGTCTGATCGACCGCCATGTAAGAGTCCGTCTTCAGCCCATCCTGCTAGCAAACGATTCTTACGGTGTGCTGTATGAATCGAGATTTCGTGAAGCGCTTAGCGCGGCACTTTTCGACGTTCATTGGCAGGAGGTTATAATGGCTGTCGTGATGCGAGATCGGTGAAACGTATATCTGGCCATGATAAGTTTAAGTTCCTGTTGTACCTCTGTTCACACAATCGAAGGGTCAGCCAGACATTTTACTATTCGGTGCGGACTTGGATCCAGGAGGTGTCATCCGGTTAAGGAACAGACGCAATCTCATGAACATTGTCTCCTTGACGAAACCGGAAGCCTATGCCTGGCGAGATAAATTCCAAATAGCGGGCAAATTTGCCGGCTAGCCGGTGTCATGATCGAACGGTGAGGAGACCAGAAGAACATCAAGGAAGTTTAGTCGGCGACTTGAACCGTTCTGTCGGGCCCGTACCCATTCGCTCCTAGGAGAGTCGAGATTCAGGCTAACTGTTTTCATAACCGACCAAGAACATGGTTGGCAAGGTGTGCACTGTCGGTCTGTGTTATTTTTTCTAGACGAACCCATTGCGCTAGGGATGTCTTTCACCTCTGCTCTTCAGTGATGGTTTGCTGCAGACGACTAGCAGCTAGGCCGAATGAGAGGAGAGAGAGTCGGCGATCTTGACGCCATCTGGTTAGGCGGAACGGCATGTTAAGCCCAGCCGCGCTGGCGCTTAATTCGGAGCTAGCTGACATGCCCGAGCGTACGGTCACCGTGGGAGTAAGGGCAAGAGGCAAGGATTCGGGACCATCGATCCGGCATGTTTGGGTTGAAAAAACGGCCGCATGAATAGCAACGCCCCTTTGCATACTGCTTGTAGCTGTGTTCGGAATGAGGTGCTAGTGAGCAAGTGTCCAGAATTAGGTAGAGGTGGTGATATCAGGGTATGTAGTGGTAGGATTTGGCGAGGTTGCAGATCTCACTGGCTCAAGTACTATGATGTCGGATAGCTGCAAGCCTATGATTTGCGAGATCAGATCGTGAAGAGGGCAAATCTGTGGAGGGAAGAAGTCGCACGCTCGCAGCTGTGAAAAAAGATTGGGGTCAGCAGGGATGCAACTGAAGGGGTTTGGTGTGTTGCGTGTATGCGATACAATGATAGTGGGCGGTGTTACGGGCCGCGTTACCTTGAAACGAATATGCATGTAGTGAGACTGCATCCTTGTTGACGTCGTCGCTTGTCGGTGTCCGGCGTTGTTTACACCCTCTCCGCTCAACACCACCGATATCAGGGCCGGAAGAATCAAGATATTGCCGAAGCATCGTCGAAAGTGTCATTCGTTCGTTCGCAACGCCGTAATCGAGACACGAGACCGAGCTTGAATGAAATGATGGTGAGGAGCTGCAGAATCTTGTTAGATGACTTTAACCTTGACGTGCTGGGGCAGGTAGGGTGTTGGCTCAAACACACAGCCGATTTGCAGCAAGTCGCCGAAAAATGATGCCAAGCCTGGCCGGCATGTCTGAAGATTCAAAGCGGTCGGCGACGGGGCTCGATTTACCCAAGTGGTGGTGTGATAGCTGCCCGGTAGAGTGTCACCATCATGGCAGTTGGTTGGTCATCTGACGGTGAAAAGGTCAAGGTACGTGGGAGATAACGGCTGCTTGGGCTGTTTGGCTGCCACGTCGAGACTCACGGCAGCGCCGACAGGACTGCCATGGATCGGGATAATTGAATTGTTTTGTGGGAGCAAAGAAGAGATTTCTCTGGCTGTTTATGGGTGCCACTGTCGCACCTTCCCCATTGACGTGCACCTCAGAATATTCACGACGGCTTGTGCCATCCATCTTCATTCCAGCGTGCCTTCCATTCTATGCTGCTATCTAGAGGTAGAGGTAAGTAGCTGTGCCCCGTTTCCCTTGGACAGCACGGCAGGTGCCTCTGATCATCTGAAGGCGGCCAACGGCTGATCCTTACTCTCAGTCACTGTGGTCATTTTGGCTCGAGGCTTCCAATGGCTCGAGGCTTTTCTTTTCCTTTCCAGTCTTTGCTCTCGTTCCGTTTCTTCTCCCTATACAATTTGGACACAATGATATTGCAAACATTACTGATACTATCTGTAGCAAAGTCCTTGGAACCCGAGCCTGTCAAAGTTCAGGGGCCAAAGGCATGCCCGGATACCCACGAGACCATCAATTCTGTCCATGTTAGGCTATCAGCAAACCTCAATGGATATGAGACTGGCTCTCTGTCTGATGTGGGGCTCAAGGCCGTGCTTGACGACGATAATTACATGTTTGTCCATGCCGTCTCTGGCGCTCGTGACGACCCCGGAAACGGTTCGAGCCTTGGAGATTACACAAGAGGGGCGGCACTCGACCATGGCAGGTTGTTGCAGCTTCGTGATCAGTCATCTCTCCTCTGCATCGTACACAGTACACACCCTCTCAATACACCGACCAACCACATGTCTGGGGGTCGAGTAGTTCCCCCAGCAGGCATGGGGCGGGGGTCAAGCAAGGCCTCATGTCTTCATGGTGTGGTCATACTCTGTTTTCTCCTGCATCCTCCTATCAAACCGTCCAGGTGCATGTGAGCATACACATCCACACGCACATCCGTCAGCCGTTTACCCTCGGACGACGACAGGTCACTGGCCAATTATCCTTTGCTCCGATGTAACATGATATCAGGAGTACAGACACATATCGGCGATCCAGAAATGGCAGCCGTGTCGTGGCCCGCAAAGGCTTGACACGGCATTTGCAGTTTTGTTCCTTACACCACCACCTATCCCGGAGTGCGGAGACACTGTTCTCTATTCCAAACATATGCTGTCCTTGCAACAGCAAAGACATAGCGACCGGACCACTCCGTGGAAAACAGAGGCCTTTTGGGCCGTGATAAGTTTCTTTTAAGGTTTCTTTCACAAGCGCATCTCTCGCCAGTATCCGGCCAAAGTAGAACCGACTCGAGATGTCCCGCAGAATCCCCTACCGAGCCATGATCGGAAGACCCTACGTAGGACCGTAGGACCGTACCAAAGCAGGAGGCATGCTTGAGTACACTAACCCGGAATGTTGGTTGACTGCAACAGCAATAAGGCTAACGCAATTAGAAGCATCTTGAACGTTAGCTACAAGCGGGAAGAAATCGCTCATCACCAACATCACAGTCTAGGATCCAAACTGTTGTCGAGCTCGACCCATTGTGCTTTCTCCTGCAGCAGCCGAAACGTTCAATTCCGCTTACATCCCTTTTCCTACTCGGCCTGCGCCTACCGTGTTAGAAATAAGACAGGGGGGTATTTTCTTCCTTTGCAATAGCGCAGCCACAGGGCTAATATGGGAAGCTGATACTCTTTTCTTTTTCTTTTTTGCACCCTTCCCCGCTGTTTCCAGAATATTCTACTTCAAACGATTAATCACAAATCATCTTTCTGATGGCAACCGAATGGAGATTGCTATCTGCTCATGCCTAGCAATGTCTCACCATCAGCTGACTGACGCCTGTCCACGAAAAAATCAGTGACTGATCACCAAAGGTTTGCTCGGCTGGCTGAAACTCCAACCTCCGAGAATGAACTACCTAACAATTGACTTGTGCACAAGAAGACTCACAATGGGACGATTAGGTCGTGAACGACATAAAATAGGCGAGTTTAAGCAAACGCACAAAAATTTTGAAGCCGGTGGTTACAAGAGCGAAAAAAAAAGGTGCAAAAAAACTGGAAAAATATTAGCTGCAACTCGTTTCGATCGAGTGACCTCCGGGTTATGAGCCCGGCGCGCTTCCGCTGCGCCATGCAGCTGAATTATGATTGGATGCAAAATGAATGTTGCTCAGGACCCTATATTGCCGTCACATTTGTAGACACACAGAGTTTCGCTCCTCCATCGCCCCTTTCAGCCTATTAGGTCGCATCGATTCCCAACAAAGAATATCGATCATACTACGTAGCTGCTAGGGAAAATTCTCAGAATAATTCCGTTATTTTCAAAGAAGGAAGCTGTGCACGGCGATGTCCTCATCGCACAAGTTGAGCTTGCAGTGCTGTTGTCATGGCTCGTGCACCTAGTATACAGCTGGTAACGGTACACTTCGCCTGTTGAACAGAACAGGTGGTGGTGGTTGGACACTCGTCCATAGCTTCGTCACCGAAACAGAGATCTTGTGCGAAGCGATCAGAGGACCGAAAATTTGATATAGGAATCCTTATCAACGTCTTCTGATGCAAAAAGCATAATATTGTAGTTCTGAGCATGTTTTTTTTTTGTCAAAAGTATCCGCTTGAAAGTTTCTCGACTTCACCACCAAACGCACGGATCAAGCACCGTTGATGCTGTGTAAAGATGGCTTCACCCTTGATTTTTTTTTTTTTAATTGGGAGAGGAGAAAGAGGTTTGGATGATGGCTTAAAGAAGAGAATAGATATCTACTCTTAGACAAAGATAGGATGGGGTTCACTGTGGTCTATGATTGTCCGTACCATTGATTACTCATTGTGCCAAGTATCTAGAATTGAAAGTAGTGGGAGATAGAAACATTACAGTCTGGCCACTGCACGACATTCACCGATATCATTCTTTCTTGTGCCCTTAGATTGTCAATCACTAGTTACGAACAAGTGTTAAACAAAGAACTCCGTAAACATGGTAAGTATAAAAAAAAAAATGAAAAAAAAATGAAAAAAAAAATGTTAGGGAACGTGATCCTAATTGCCTCCACTACACAAGGTAAACCAACAATTACCAAAAGAAATCCTGAGAAAGTGAATTACCCAACTCACAAACCGCCCTTTTCATTATCTGGATTCCCACTCGGCACCGCCACAAGACTCGTCGCCACAGCCGTCACCACCTCCGTCGCCGATGGGAACGGCCAGCCCTCCGTGGTAGTGTAAGTAACGGTTTCCAGGAGACTTACTGTTCTGTCTCCCTTACCGACTTCACCACCACCGCCAGCAGCACCACTTCCGGAACCTGAGCCTGGGGCGGCGGGGGCGGAGGCACTCGGTGCAGCAGTAGCAAACCCAGTAGTAGACCCAGAAGAAGTCCAAGACCACGTGAAACCAGGGAAGGTAGTAGTCCAACTCCAGGAAGAACCACTACCACCACTACCTCCCGCTCCGGCGCCGGTATTTGAAGGAGCGTTGGCAGTGACTGGGCTAGCAGTTACCGTTACAAAAATGATACTTGGAGCTGGGGCTTGAGGAGCTTGAGCGGCAGTTACTGTCGTTGTTTCTGGTCCTGATCCCGAGCCACCACCACCGCTACCGCCGCCGCCGCCGCCACTGCCAAGAGTAATAGTAACAGTGCTAGCAACCGCCGTCTGAGCTGGCAAGTTGGCTGCATTATTGGAGTTGGTGACAGTGACAATGACCGGAGTAGGTGGGGCGGTGGGAAGGATGACGGGGGCAGTCACTGTCGTGACAATGATAGGTGCTAAGGAGCCACCACCTGCGATGGAGTTGGCAACAGAGCCATTGGAGCCATTACTGGTAGCTGCTTGGCCTCCCGCGGCGGCTGAGGAAGGGGCAGGGACGATGTCGATTACTACAACTGTTGGAGCTGCTGCTTGTGCTGTTGCGATGGAGGGAGCGATGGCAGTTGCAGAGTTATCGGGAAACCCCGAGATGCCAGAGAAGACGGAAAAGCCAGCTGGCTGAGAGACCAAGGCGTCGATGATCACGGTGGTGGTGCTGGCGAAGGACTGGGAATTGGCGATGGTGATGAAATTGGTGGCGGCTGCGGTTGTGGGAGCGGGCACGGAAACAGGATCGCCGGCTGCTTGGGTAATGCTCACGACAATGACGCCAGGGGCGCCGTTGGCGGCTGGGGGGTCTGCGGTGATGAGGACTGTCTGAGTCGTGGTCGGGGAGGCGGCACCGCCTACACCGGGAGTGATGACGACTGGGCCGGCGGCAGAGTTGCTTGTTGCTGAGGGAGGCACGACGACGGCGCTGGCGGAGCTGATGCCTGGAATCGGGGATGTGATTGAGGGCACCACGACAGCGACGCTGCTTGAGGAAACTGGTGGGGCTACTGGTGTTGCTGAGGGAGTGACTGCTGGGATGGAGGGTGCTGCTGAGGTGAGTAAAGGGGCTGTGAGAGTTGCATTGGAGGGTGTAGGTAGGGGAGCAATGCTCGTGGAGTTGGGAAAAACACCTGCGGCAGAGGAGTTGCCTCCTGCTATAGGACCGCCGGTTCCAGTGACGATGGGACCCGTGGGCGTTGGCACCGGAGGCGATACTGGGGGTTCGGTACCCGGAGGAGCTGGGGGAACGGACACTGGGGGAACGGACACTGGGGGAGCGGACACTGGGGGAGCGGACACTGGAGGAGGGGATGCCGGAGGAGCCGATGATGGTGGAGCGGATGCCGGCGGTGCGGATGCTGGGGGGGCGGATGCTGGAGGGGCGGATGCCGGAGGAGCTGTCGCTGGAGGGCCCGCCGCTGAATCTGTGTCCGCGCGGACGTCGGCTGGTGCACGATTGATGGGATAGGTGAACCGATGTTTGATGTGCTCCTCTTGGTCATTGACCTCTTGGTTGTTGAACAGATTCCATCGTTTGACGAACCCACGAAGCCCGTCAGAGAAATGATTTCCACTCTGTATTTGCTCCTGAGTAGACAACTGTGGAATAGCTTGCTTGTTGAGTTGAGATTGTCTATGAGCTGGTGCAGCTATGACAGACGTGCTTGCTACAAGCAAAGCAACAGCTAATATTGGTAGCTGCATGGTGTCTGTTTACTTGCTGACGCCTGGGCGTTTCTGGTCGAGAGATGGTTTACGTTCTTTTGTAAATGAGCGTGGTGTCTTTGTTGTGTGAGGACTGCTTGACAACCTATATTAAGACAAGATTCGTTCAGGGGAAGATATATAGACAGGCCGAAGTATGGGGAAGATTTGTTATAATTGCCACCTGGACTTGGTCCATTGCCATCAGGGATCCTGTTGTCAGTAGGGCCTTGTTTCCTCTCCTGTTCGGCCGTTCCGAAGCGTACAAGCTTCAACCGCATCTAAATACCAGTATTGGAAAGGGATACCTCGGACATGGCGTCATACAAATCTGCTACCATCGGGAGTCAGCATGAGTGATGCTACTCTTTGCATCGGCATCGAGATGAGTGATTTCCAGAGAAGACCTCAAAAGTACTACCATTAGAAGAGGCTGATTTTCATGGTGGTCAGGTGCAGCCAATTCTTTGAGCCTATGGTATGGGCAGAAAGATCCGTACATGTGTACAAGTAAATCCCCAAGCCTGTTCGTGCCACTGCCGCGAGTTGGCAGGTATGACTGTGAGATGAGGACAATGTCAGGAACCGTGAGCGTCGAGTCCTGTGACACTTTTACAATGTCGGCCCTCGATCTGTTCTTGAGAATCTTCGACCATGGTTCGCCTGGTATCTTCACAGCATCGCAAGAATCATCAACGACCAGAAACCGCAGCTGACGTTTTGCATGGAGTGTCTCAGTATAAACTCCGAAGTTGACTTGTGATGAGACCAAACAGGAAGCCGACACACCCCCTTATTTTGTGAACTTGGTTCGGGGCACACCAGAATAAGGTGACGTGTCGAAGTGTGAGACCACGAACGAACTTTTGTGCTCGTACCATGAGACCGGCTTGACCGTCCGAGGTCATCTCAGGGAGGGGCATCTTACACGACTGAACACTGGGAAATCCATGTGGATGACGAACCGTAAAAAGAAGTGGTGGCCGCTTGGTTTACAATGTGGTCTCGGTGGTTCGTAAGATGGTCAATGTTCGCCCAACTTGACGATAACCCACAGACAAAACGTTTCCTATGAAGGATTTGGTGTCCAATTCGTGGATGTTTCCGGCCTGTGTGATTCGAATAAACCGAGTAACGGTACGTTTCGTATTGCTGGGAAGAATGACCGGAGATGGTGTTCTTACCATGGGCTTTTCAAGCATACCCCAACCGACCGACGGGCTGGGTCAATGCTGCGCCATCATATAGCAACCACTTGACAGCCTTCCTAGATGGTTTCGGGTGGATTATCTCTCGGAGGCGATTTATTGGCCCCGAAGTGCAACAGGAAATAACTTGCTGTATTCCGAGTCCTTATGACCCAACTCGCAAGCAATGGCACGTTGAGCCTTCCCTATCTCTTCAATATCATCATGGACAAAGCAACGTCCTAGTGATGGTATATCAGTGCCTTATGATAAACTTTCAGGGAGCAGGCCGATTATTCAAAGAATCGCATTAGTTAGCCACTCCAGCCCCAAATGGAAAGCATTGGTGTACTTTGGGATATGCTGACGCAGAGACGCGTCGCCCGTGAAGGTGTGACAAAGTCAGCATTGCCCACATGGGAATGTCGCATCGCCAGCCTTTATGTTGCTCCAACTGCAACAGCTACAGTAGCCAGTAAATGGTTCGCCACTTGACCTGTGGGAGCAGGTTGGCTGTAGGTAGAGATGAGAAGGATTCAGAGCCGTATGTTGTGGAGGCACACCAATATGGCCAAATAGCAACGTGGTCTGTCGAAGAACATGCTGCGTTTGAAAGCCTTATAGTGTCGACTCAATGCGAAGATGCGGTGACAATTGCGCTTGTCCTGAGGGTTCGGGTTTCCCTGAAGCTTGCTATCCATTCGAACGATAATGGCTCATTGAGCTTTGAGACGGACAGGAGCAAAGCATATATGATGCTCGTAGTCGCATGAAGTGGGAGGCGTTGTATGTGGTTGAGTGCGCTGTACTGAAATCGTCTGATATCTTTACCGTCGTGGTGCTCTCCAAGTCTTGGTGGCCAATCTCGTCGTTGAAGCGTCAATTGACTCAATTCGTCTGATAGTGGTAAGATGGGACGCAATAATGTTGTGCCGGCAATTGAACGGTATGCGGTGTTTGCCTCTGAGGGGTGGCGAGAGGTCAGTTTACCGTGCTTTGGATGCCAACTGGTGATGTTGATGTCGTCTTTCACAGAGTGCTCCTGCTCTGTTGGAAAGCTCATTCCTATGGCCACACCTGACAACTGTTAGCCTCGCCTTGAAAGCAGATTGCTCATCTAAACATGGAAGTTATGCCAAAGATAAGTGTGTCATGAAACAACAACAACAACATGAAGCAATTGCAAACACCGACATAGCTCATCGTTTGGAATGGCATCAGTAGACGTTGGGTTGTTGCACTATTCCCATATTTCTCACCTATCCCATGTTAGTTCAGTCCCATATCTGCCCAGGTTAGGAACGGAAGGACCAGATGAGAGCCCACCGCTGGTCCATCTTATCCGTGTCAACGGGGTGGTTCTGGTGAATGTAAATACCTGAAGGTTCCTTCTCGCCAAACCATTCACTTGCTTGTTGAGGCTTGACCTCAACAGGTGTATATAAACCGCAAGATATCCGGGCTTCCCATCTCTTACCCTCTTCCTCTCCCCTCACCACCACCAACTACTCATACCACTCACTTAAGTCCCAGTTTTGGTTGATTCCGGTCCTTTCTACATCAGTTTTGGTGATATTTTAGACCCAATATCACATAGACACTTACCTGAGTTAACGTCAAGATGCCTTCAACCAAAACGGTTAACGTCTCCGAGAGTACACCTGGGGACTCAAATGGAACTACGAGCCCCAGCCAGATCATACCTTCGACGGACAGAGCATCTGACCTATCACGGATCGATCCTGCCGTCAGCCTTTCTACGTCCTCCACTGAGGATACACCGAAGGACTCGGCTGTTGCAACAGACACCAGCCCAGCGATGCCACCACTGGACGCAGAAAATGTTCCCCTGCCAGACGACGAGTACGATGAGGATATGCTTGAAGTCAGTTCGCTTTACAGCGTAGTTTTGTCACTTTGGATACTGACACCTTCTCTCAGGTAACACCTCCTGCCGACCATGAGGCAACCACCCCGAAAAGTGACAATGTCGAGCTTGCAAACCATGAGCCGACAGACCTGAACACGACCAACGGGGACCAAGATGACACCCATCCTGAGAATATTAACGCGCTTGCCATAAGCTTCATATCGTCTTCCTCAGCTCCCACCTCACCCAAAACACCCAAAAGACAAACCGAGTCTTTTTCTGATAACGGAGATCACCATGAGTCCACGGCGTCGTCCTTGTCGTCGACTGAGAGCTGTCCAAAGACACCAACTAAGGAAGGTTCATCGACCTACCCTTTCGTTGTCGAAGACGAGACCAAGAGTCTCTCATTGGACAACCTTGATTTGACGTCCCCGAACTGGATGGAGAACATTGCCAACTTCCTCGAGAAAATCGAACATCTCGAGCCAGACACAGAAGAGATCTTGGAGCCCAGTACCATGGGATTTGTTGAAGGAGAGGAGTATGATGGACCGACCATCGCCCTCCCAGACACCACCGAGTACCATCCTTACTCGAATAACTTCCAAATTCGCCTCTCCAGATATGGTGGCTTTGGAACCTTTGCCACTCGTGACTTGAAGATGGGCGAGGTCATCCTGATTGAGAAACCTCTCCTAAGGACGCCTCGCGACAGTTTTTACACCGAGTTCCTCAAGCTGTCTGAAGAAGACCAGGCAAAGTTCATGCAGTTGTATACGCCCCCTGGCGAGTACTCGAGTCAAGACGGAAGCGACTGCAACCACATCAGGGCGATCCTGAAGGCAAACTCATTTGCTATCAACCCCTACAGCAATGACATAATCAGCGTGTACAACGTCACATCAAGACTCAACCATGCTTGCCGGTCGGTGGCCAACGTTCTCTTCGATTTTGACTTTCAGGATCCGGAATCCATCACGTTGACCATTAGCAAGCCTGTGAAAGCCGGGTCAGAGCTGTTCATCAGCTACGGTGGAAGCCCATTGTCGCTCTATGAGCGATACGGGTTCCGATGCTGTTGCGGAGGGTGTGAGGGCGTGACGGATCAAGACATCGCCATAATGAAGAAGACTAAAGATATTGAGAAATACCTCTGGAGTGGTGGTCTTGGAGGTTCAATACCCTAACCCTGCATTTTATGGTTGATGTTCTCCATGATCAATTGTTGGCGGTTGACGATGATTTGCAATATGGTGGTTACACAACGTCGATTGACAGGAGGTGCCGCATTCTTTGATCAGGGGAGGTTTGGAAGTATATTTTGGGCATTGTTACACGACCACCATCTCTATCTGGGAATCAATCAGCAACGGTATATTCAAGACAAGGTGCCGAGACATTGGGCTAGACTGGCTTGTAGTTCAATTATCAGCGCATGAGGTGCCTTACGTAGAACGCAGTCTTTTTTTCAATTCACAAGTCCGTGGTGCTTTACTATCATGGATCAGTGCATAGAAGTATCGTACTATCATGAGGTGTTATTGATTGCTCGCGATGGGGCTCCATTCAGAGTGTTGAGCGCTCAGTTGGTAAATGATATCGAAATCTGCGCAGTGGCCTAATAGCGAAGATTCTCGAAGCTGGCGTGATGTGAATTGTTCCCGTTCCGTGACAGAGAGAAGTGGAAGTGGTTGGATTGGCAGTCAGATGTCAAACCGAAAAGAAAGCCCGGCACATGATCGCCTGGTGGTGTGGGGCGCCGTCATCTGTAGGGCTGGCTTGCCGCTGTCGCCGTTTTTCTGGGGGTGCACGAGCCCCCAAAAACATCAGGTCAGGGGCCAGGGCATTCCACGACCACGATCCCCGGCCTGGATTGGGCACTTACTACGGACCAGGTACCGTGGTCCAATTGGCGCTGTGTCGGCCGCCGATCAATGCGA